GTTCAATCTTAGGTTTCATTGGTGACTAAGGGTAATATCCGGAAGGATATTTTGCACGTTATTTTGCATAACTAGGTGAGTGTTCCTTGTTTGCTATATTTCTTTGACTTATTGGCTTGTTATTATTGATTGATAATGTGTTAAGTGCTTTCAATGATTGGTAAAACGAGTTTTCTAGGCGAGTGTGTACTTTATCGCACTCGACCTAAATAAATGTGAAATTTTCAATGATTAATGATTAAATGCTAGTTGCGCATGAATGTAAGTCGTTTGGCTGAATTGGACCCTGCCATTCGTTACCGATCGACTTGAGCCAGAAGCGGATTCGGTCGGGCGATATGGTGACCCTGGGTGAATTTGGTATACTCGAGTATTACCTTGTAGTCCGGTTACGTCCGGATGGGTGGAGTCCGGTCAACGTCCGGATGGGTGGAGTCCGGTCAATGTCCGGAAAGGGATGAATGAACGAACGAAGGCACGAGGGTTCTATTTCTCAAAAAGGAAATTTTCAAAGGATTGGAGGAACAAGGGGAAATGTCAGGGGAACGAACGAAAGAACGAATAGCTCCATGTGAGTCCGTATCCTTTTAATGAATGTTACTATTGCTTTCCATTGTAAATGTTTCTTGAATTATTGATACTCCATGTTTAATGTATTGAATTGATTGTTTGATTATCTGTTCGGAACCTCACTGAGCTTTTAACTCATCCCTTTAGTTTTGTTTTCCTTAACAGGGGACGGCGAGCAGGATGAGAGCATAGACTAGCCTAATCTAGGTCTTTTGTTTCTTTTGTAATGGTTATCGCCCTAGTGCTTGGCACGGGTTGGTTGTATGGTGAAGTGAGAACCTTTGTACATTTGATGGTTGTACTTCCTTTAGATAGTAATGTATATAAGTTCCGCTTTAAGTTTGGATTGCAGCCATATTTATTCTTGTGATTTATTCTGAATTTGATTAAGGAACGACTGAGTCCCGACGAGAGCCGGGCAGGCGACCCGTTGAACCCTGGGGTACGCCCTAGGGGGAGGTGGGGCCGTCACACACATGATCAATTCAGCTGGATATTAGGCTTTCCAATCCGATTATACTTGATTGGGAATATTGTAGCAATATAAGGAGCGAATTGATTCAATTAAATGTTCACAGGGGCAATGTCAGGAAAATGCAATTTTTGAGCGGAGTTATTCGAATTAATACACACGGAGGGATGAGCCCGCCATGATATTATCTTCGCCCCTCCCTAAACTCCTGTGGACAAAACATCGCTAGCATGTATATGAAAATTCTTAATTCAATTATTTATTTTCTTTCTCCTAGTTAGCATGCCTACGTGAAAAGAAAATAATTGATTAGGTCGTTTAGATATTTGAATTTAACTCATATCCGTATCCCATCCCGTTCTTCTCTAACCGATTCTTATCATAATTTCTCTCTCTTCTATCAACTTAATATTTTTCAATAAATTTGAATTATATTTTATTATGATTTTCTTCTCTCTTCTAACAAACTATATCTAAAAATTCAAGTAATTTATTTTTTTCATATGTATTAGCTTTATTTAGTGTTATTTTAATTGTTACGTCATCAACATTTCTAGAAACTTAATATTTGTTCATGAAGAAAATATGTTTTGTATATTTGGAGCTTAGTTGAATATAGGTGTATAGTGTTAGGTTTTTTATCATATAAAAATCTAATAATTAATTCAAAGAATATCTATCAATAGTTCGTATACTTTGCATATTTAATGAATAATATTCTATTAAAATAAATGTATATATAGATGTTTTCAAAGATTAATATAGTACTTGAATATTCAGATACATTGAATTGCTAAATTGAATATTCATGAATATGTAAGAATATTATTTTATTTTTTAAAAATTATTCATGCTTGTATAAATTCACGACTAATACTAATATAAAAACAAACCCGTGCTTATATACGGGACAAAATAGTAATATTAATTGACAATTTCAATTATCACTCTTTATTGGGCTGTAACTACAGGTACTCTTTGTTGGGCTGAAATTACAGATTCTTGGGCTAGTGTTAAGAAAAGTTGTTGTTCCATCATCATCATTTCAATAGTAATGGACATTGTCTTCAAGTCTGGGGCTGTAGAGACCTGATCTATCTGATTAACGGCTTGATTTACTACTCTTCTGGATCACAATTAGGGTTGTACTCGCATGGAGTTGCTCACGAGCAGCTTGGTCAAAAACTCGACTTGAACTCGGGTTAACGGAGTTCGAGTCAAGTTCGAATTGCTCGATAGACTCTAACAAGTCGAGTTCAAGTATCCAGTAGCAAGATTTGAAGGCTCGTCGAGTCTTATCGAATTTTTTAATATATTATTATTATGAAATTACCCTCGTGCTCACAAGAGTAGTTGAATTTAAGAAATGTTTGAGATTGTATGAAATTTTTTGAAGGGCGATAATGTCTTTTGTTCAAAAATTGTCCAAAAAAAAAAGAAATTTCCCAAATTTTCCTAAATCAAACTCGATAAGGCTTGCTTTGATTCGAACCTATGCGAGTTGAGCTCGAGTTCTATGAATAATGCATCGAGCTCAAACTCGAGCTCCAGCAATACTATTCGCTCGAGCTCGAGTATTCTTGCTGCAAGTCGAGTTTTAGTATGGCGATATTCGAGTTTGACTCAACTCGATTACATCCATAATCACAACAATTGCTACGTCGATCACAATAACTCTTGTTTCTCATTACCCCAACCCTACCTCCTTCTTCCCCTATTCCTCATCCTTTACTCTCCGTCTTCCGCTACATTTTTTCAATTATCTTTTTATTTTACATACATTATATAGTTACAGTATATTTTTCCATAAAAACATAAAAAATTTCAATTCAAACAAGCTCTAAGATTTGCCTTATGTAAATTTTAAAATCTATCTACAAGCCTCGAGTATTCAGTGTGTGAGTTATCAAGACAGTACATATGAGTTGGTAATAATAATTTAACTCCAACAAATAAAAAAAAAAGGAACAAGATGCTTCGCCATTACCCCAGCCAACCATTGAGTGATGATATTAATATTCTTTTAGTTCTCCCAAATTCCTAAGCATGCAAATACATCATACAACAATTATAGTGTAAGCAAAGAAGTATATTTCTTTAACACGTTAAGATTAATTGAGAAACTCGTAAACTATTTATCAAGCATGACAAAGAGAACAAGAGAGAGGAGTTGTAGGCCTCTATGAAAAGTTCTTCTCTACCTTGAAATTTTGACATCAATTTTAGGTAATATTAAAGTCTTATCTTTTTTAAAGCTGTACAATTTTGAGAAAAGTTAAATTTAATATGACACTCCATTTTTTTTAAAGGTTAATAGATACAACGTGTTACCAATTATCATCAATGATGTGGCATAAAATGGAGAACCGTCAATACAAAATGGGTTTTACTATGACATTGTAAGAAAGATTTATTCAAAATTTATGATTTTTTAAATCATGTTTGTGGCCTTTACAATGTAAGAAGTTGCAGAATTGGTCTCTTCTGACTATCCAAGGTGGCAAACACTCACAAATAATAGGTTCATATCCTCCCCTTCCACCCAAGAAACAAAAAAAGAAAAGAAAAAGTTTGTATTCTCCGCGATACAACAGCAGAAGTTCAAGAAATAAAACAAATTTGGGGTTTGACAAATCAATAGTCACTTAGATTAGTAATTCAAATTATGGAAATTTGCCAAATTGGTCTCCTATATTTTCAGAAAAAACTTTTTTAGTCCCTCACATTTAAAATCAGGTACAATAGTCCTTCAGATATAAAAAGTTCGCCCCAATGGTCCCAAAACTCATTTTCATTCACTTCTCTAGCCAAAAAATGCATACCTCTTTTACGTGCCCATAATTTCAAGGATAAAAATGAAAACACAATTCGTTGCTACAATGACATCAATCATTGTTTGCTTCCATTATACTTTTCAACGGGTGAATTTCTTAGGTATCTTTTCTTGCTCTTCTTCTACTACTTGCAAGTAATCATACTGAAATTTTCTTCTTTGATTGGTGGCTTACAAATAAGGTTTTGGTAACTGAAAAAATAGGGGGGGGGGGTGAGGAAGAAATGGTTTGGTGGCTTATATATATATATATATATATATATTTTTTTTTTAAAAAAGAGGAAACAAAGTATATTTTCATTTTTGTCCTCAAAATTATGGGCTCGTGAGAGAGTGTGCACTTTTTGCCCATAGGAGTGAGTGAAAATGAGCTTTGGGACCAATTAGATGAACTTTTTTATAAATGATGGACTATTGTGGTTGATTTTAAATGTGATGAACTAAAAAATTTTTTCTCAAAATGTGAGGGACTAATTTGACAAATTTCCCTTCATATTATTATATTACTATAACTTTATCTTGTCTTGAGTAAACTCGTGTGAGACTTGAACAAGCAAATACATTTCTAAATCCTTTAGTATAACAAATATATAATAAGATTTCACTAAATAAATATTAAGTAAGAGTTACAATTGGTTACCTGCTTCTGAAAGTCTCCTGATTTTAAATTGTATATTTTTAATATTATTCCGAAAAAGTACCATAACACCAATTAAATGGTTAGAAATATAACTAAGATAATTCAAGAATGTGTTTAATTTTTTTTCCTAAGGAGTACTCTAATCCAAATGAAGCCTATATACTTTGTCACAGTTCCTCGGACAATTCTTGTTAAAAAAAAAAAGAAAAGTTCAACCTAAACCTTTAAATAAAGTTTGACTTTGGAGAATGAATGAGTTGGATTGTAGAGGAGGAAGAAGCGCAGGTGAGAATCGACATCTCCTATTTATACTAAAAGAAAATAAATAAAAGAATTTCACTGCTCCGAAGGGATCAACAAAATCAAAAGATAAAAAAAGCTCGGTATTATTACGTGCTCAAATTTTCACTTACATGGCAACCCGTAATATCTCCATCTGTTAAGAAAAGAGAACAAGAAAACCGAATCTGTCCCGACACCCCGTCGCACACGTAACTTAACCAGCCCACAACTATTAAAATCTTTTCTTCCTCCTACGAGTAAAAACCCAGTACCATTCAGTGAAGAAACAAAGAGGGACGGGACTTTTCTGGACCCTTAATATATTCTCCAAGAAACTTGAACAACGCTTCTCTCACATGTGAATTTTGTGTATAGACAGATGTGTTTTTGATTTCGTTGAAGAGGAATTTGACGAGAAGAAGATGTTGGAAGATCAGGTAGCTAATTTGTTACAGAGATATCTGGGGAACTATGTTAGAGGACTTAATAAAGAAGCCCTCAAGATCAGTGTCTGGCAAGGTTTGTAATTTTTCCTCCATTTTCCAACTTTTCAATCATCACTGTTTTGTACTTGTAGTTCAGCTGGAAATGTTTCTTGGGATGAAATTTGCATGAAAGGTTAGGGGACAAAAACATACAAAATTGGGTTTTTGTTTCTTAATGGACCTGGCGTGGTGGGCTTGTTTTAAAAATAAATAATTCTGGAAGGGAAATGGTGGGTTAATTTCTCTGTCTGTGGAGTGGAATGCTGGCAGATAACTAATGTGATGGATATTTAGCTAGGTATGATTTTTTGTCATTTCAAAAGTTCATTTTTATTCGGAAATGAATGCGCATTGAAGAATTTTATGACAATATCAGGTGAAAGGATTGTCGTTGAAGGATTAGAATAACTTAGGAAAGTTCTTGAACTGATAGGTTCTATGCATCTTGAATTTCGAGTGGCAAACTGAGCATACTAAGTCAATGGAGAATTTGATTACAATTTCAGATGAAAGAATTGTTGTACAAGGACCTGCGTAATTCAGTGAAGTTTTTAAAGTCATAGTTTGCAGAGAAAGGCAATTGATTGTTTGACTACAATACAAGATGAAAAAAATTGTTATCGAATTCAGTGAATATTTTAATTCATAGGTTTGTATGAACTCTTCATTTCGAGTGCAAATTGAGCTGAGAAAGGTTAAAATCTCCTCTTGCTGCACGAGGCTGATGAAAAATTAAGAAAAAATTTTAAAAGTGGCAGTGAAAGGAATTTGACCAAAGAGCTTACTATCATCAATCTAGGAATAGTGATGGTGCTATATTCTACCGCTTCCGATGTATCAATAAGTGCATAGAAGTTTGATTTATGTCCAAGGCACTTAGGAAGAAAAATGAAAGTGCACTTAAACCTGAAACATTTAAAGCAACAAGTAATCCAAAGTCAAATGCTTGAGCTTAGAAGTAGATGTGGTCTAGGTGGTTGAAAGTTGGGATCAAGTTGTCTGCAATTTGAAGAATTAAATAGTGAACCAATCTGAGTTAAGTAGTTGTATGAAAATACTCCTTTTGGTTTTGATTAAAAGATGATTCAAATGTCAAACCTTTTAACATGGATATCCTAGATTTCCTTGAGTTGCTAAAATTAATTAAGCCATTACTGACTTTTGGTTCCATCCAGTTGAATAACTAATTGACCATATTGCATTATCTGCACATCAATCCGTTGAAGATCAACTTTTGGTTCAGGAATTTGATTTGATTTGACTATGTGTTTGCATTTGTTGTGTAGGAAACTTGAGGGTTGTATTAACTGGAAATCAATTCTCCATCATTGTTCGAATAAGTAGCACTGCCAGTTGCAAAGGTGCTAGATAATAGTAAGAATTTGACTTAGCGATCATCTGAATGAACTGATGTCAAAGAAGTTAATAAGGAGGTTAGTAATTAGATGTGCTTCAAGTCCTAAGAAAAACAATCAAGTCCAGAAACCTTGGGGTGTTGGAAATTTAAACAGTTTTGGTGTTAAACCAGTAATCTTTGCGCAAGAATGTAACATTTTAGGTTTACATTCTCCAGAATTGGTTCTCTATTTTTACGGTGATGGTCTGGTCACAAGCTCTATATCATGATCATTGAAGGAATGGTGTCAATACTTATTATTAGGTCATTCCATTGTGGGGATTTCTCAACCCATGTCTTATACTCTGTTCATGGTACCTAGTATTTGAAATAGGTGTTTGATTGATAAATCTGAATCAGAATGAAGTGCTGAAAAAATTTGTATGTATGTCATTATTAGCTAAATTTAAGCACTTAAATTGAAATTTGTCACTTCATAAATATGGTAAATTTTGTATTTAAAAGGATTAGCCTTATTAGTTTGTATGGGAGAGAAGTTTGTATCTGAGAGAGAAAATAATGATACAGTTGAGATATAGTAGTGTGTAGTGTGTATATATATGAGAGAGAGAAAGAGAGAGAGAGAGAGTTTATGTATGTGTGTGAGAGGAGAGTGTTTTTATGTGTCTCTGTGTGCGTATATTTAGAGAGAGAGGATGAGAGAGAGAGAGAGATTGTGTTTATGCGTGTGTTAGCGAGAGAGTGTATGCGGTGAGGGAGAAAAGTGTGTGTATGTATGTGTGTATAAGTGCATATGAGAGTGTGTGTCTATGTGATAGAAGAAAATGCCTATGCATGTGTGTGTGAGAGAGAGAGAAAGTGTGTCTGTGTGTGAAAGAGAGAGTTTGAGAGACAGTGTGTCTGTGTAAGTGTGAGAGAGTGTGTGTCTGAGAGAGAGCAATAAAAAGAAATTAAGTCCCTACAGGTGTTTAAAATTCAGCAAATTTGAAGGAATATTTTCACGTAAGATTTTGAATACAAGTAAGTCGTGCTTAATATACTAAGTGGTGAGGGAATTCTATTGTCAAACATGTTAAATTCAAAAAGTGGTGAATGCATTATTTTTCAGCATAAAGTGCAGTTATCAAACATGACACTATGTAACACTGCGAAAGCAATGTGCTCAGATTTATGTTCTTTGCTTTCATCTATGTAACTATTGATGTTTGATGACATTTTAGTGATACTCATGGTCTCTATGTAACCCCTTGAGTAAAATTTGTCTAAGGAGATGAGAGGTCCTGGAGAGTTAAAAAAAGGAGGGTTTGTATTTGTTGCATATACAGTGGAGTTTACTGTCCCTGTTGATTTTGAGAACAACTGGAGCAGATACTTCTTGAGTATATTGAGGAGGAATAGGAATTGAAACCCTTTCTACTAAGCTAAGTTATTTCCCTCCATCATGTCATTCTTTCCATTATGGTACTGAACGTTACTCGCGTGAGTCTATGTTTCCTTTGTGCCACAGATAGAGCATAAGGCTGCTCATCTTTCAGATGCACTAAGTTATGATAATGAGGATTTAAGAGAAATCAACACATAATGATTTTTTCTTCCACTTATGCGATGTTTCTGAACTGTTGATTCTTCAATGTTGATTTCATTTTGGCAAAAGCTAGTGGCATGCATTTGCTCATAAGTTGGTTGATTTTTTCTTGTAAATTAGTACTACATTTAATAATGCTTGTTCTTATAATAGTTGATGAGCTCAGCTCAATTTTTTGCTTGTACCTCAACAATTTGTGCTCTATGTTGCTTAAATGTGCCTTAGGGGATGTGGAGCTAACTAATATGCAACTGAAGCCAGAGGCCCTCAATGCGTTGAAGTTGCCTATAAAGGTTAAGGCAGGATTTCTTGGGTCAGTGAAGCTTAAGGTTTGTGGGAATGCTTCAACTTTTTAAATATTTTTTTTTCCAACAAACGGAATTAGTACTTTTATATATTAACACTTGATAGTACGAGAGTTAGTTACAATTTAACTTTTTAAATATTTAGGAACCCAATTATGTGTTTATTGAAATTTTGATTCTACACTATAAAAATTTGTTTGACTTTGTGCTGTAAACACTTTGTAAAAATGTCTCAAGTCTATCCTTCACATCTAAAAATGGAATTTCAGCTCCCACAGTCTAATAGCATGTGTTATTAGTGATCATTACAGCAAACACATTTGTCATACTTGAGGAACAATTGTTTTTTTTTTTGTTTTTGTTTGGGGGGGAGGGGGGAGGGGGGAGATTTGACTTCTGGTGTATTATGTGTTTTACGTGCAAGTATTTGCTCAGACTCAACCCTTGTGTTCCTTTAGCAGAGTGCATTCTAGCTAATGCTATTTTAGTTCAGCCTGTGATGCTTTAATAGTTCTTTTTGTCTATATGTCATGGTCTGAAAGAGTCTGATCTGTGAGTTAAGCAAAACTTCAAGTTTATTTATTTGCTTCAAAGCAATATGATCCCTTTTTATGGCACTTGCTGTCTAGTTGCATAGGGAATAATCATATGATGGGAATGGTAATTTTTTTTATTGCAAGGTCAAAATGGGTAATGAATGTGCAGGCATTAAGAAAAATCCTCATTGAAATTCAAATGCAGAATTGTGGGTGTCTGTTTTGATATTGAATTTGCATATCTTGCAATTAGAATATTGGTTTCATTAATTTGAGGTCTTTCACAAGATCAGATGAGTTTATCATCTGGTAAATCTTACGATGCTATAGTGTTCTCTTTGATTGATCTCTAATGTCAATTGTCAAGATGGCTAGAATGATACTTAACTCTTCTCTCCCCCTGGCCCGTGCAAAGGAAAGAAAACTAGCAGGATTTTACATCCAACTCCGTTGCAGAAAGCTAAGATGTTTTCCTTCAATTAATAAAACTTCCAACTCCTTAGAACAATTTTACTTCCTCTGTTTCTCGCCCTCTCCGTCTCCCTCTCTCTCTCGATTTGAAAGCTTTTCAGTATTTTTTATGGTTATGGATTATAGGTTCCATGGAGCAAGCTTGGCCAGGATCCAGTTTTAGTTCACCTGGATCGTATATTTTTACTTGCTGAGCCTTCAACTCAGGTTGAAAGTTCTAGTGAAGATGTGGTGCAAGAAGTTAAGAGGAACCGAATACGAGTAAGACTATTGTAAATTCCAAACAAGATTTCTTTCTTGGTTGGTGTGGATTTTTTAATTTTGTTTTCCTATGGTGTAGGAAATGGAAATGAAACTATTGGAGAGCAGAAAATTACAGACAGAAGTGGTATGTTCCTCAAGAGCTGTCCATGCAGTAGTTTTCTGGTCCATTTGGTTATCGCATATGTTTGAACAATCATTAGAATTTGATGTTTGTATCTGCTTAAGGTTTTGTATGCTGGCTGCCAGCTTACTTATTGCAATCACATCACGGGTTTCGGCATATTAGAGCTTAATTAAAATCTGACTTGACTTGCTCTTCTTGGAAACTTGATTGGTTGTCAATTATAATCTGTCCTTTATTGTTGACACAAACTGCATGCAAGGGGTATGCGGAGAAGCTTACACTACTTTTTATTGTTGATACACCTCGGGGCTTTATGGTGCTTTATGTAGGATGCTACATAAAGCACCCCACTTCAATCCTCTTCCTGTTAAAAGAATGTTTCAGATGCAAATGATGATTGCCCAAATCTCCTACAGTCAACACAAGGTTGACGACCTCTTCTGAATTGTGATCTGTAGATGCTCCAGATTGAGGAGATTGGTGAGGTGAACAGCATCAGAGCCATAATCTGTTCATAGCACTTCAACTCTCCTTAAAATCCCATGTTTATGTTTGTTAATAATAAATGGTTAAAATGTGAATCTGATCGTGTTGGAGTTATTTTTGTATCTAAAATATATCTTCCTTGCTTTGTTGTTTTTGTCTGGATCTGTATTGACTGCATTTCTCTTGATTGTTTGAAAGAACAAGTCTTGGTTGGAGTCTTTGATAAACACGGTAATTGGGAATCTGAAGCTTTCTGTTTCAAACATTCACATCAGATATGAGGACACTGAGAGGTGAGCACTCTTCAATCCTTATTTCAATCATCAGCTTCATGGGACCTTACTGATTTCCTTTTGCAGCAATCCTGGCCATCCTTTTGCAGCTGGTGTAACTTTAGACAAGCTGTTAGCCGTCACAGTTGATGACACTGGACAGGAGACTTTCGCAACTGGGGGTGCACTGGAGCGTATTCAGAAGGTTCTGGTTCTTTGAAATTATAAATTATGCAGATATAGGAGATATATTTTAAGTTATGTTTTTTCTAGAGCTTTAGTCTTTAGTTACTTATTGTTGCATATTTTCTTGTGTCTGTGTTTGTGCATGGTCAATATTCTTATACATATGACAACGGAGACTTTAAGATCAGGGATAGTGGAATCTTCTTGTGAATTTGTAAAAGCTATTTTTGACATGCTCTCCTGAAAAGCAACAATTTTTTATTTTTTTTTGGAAATCTTTCTTTTTTGGTTGCTGTATTTTTATCTGTCTGCAACTGTTTATATGTGCTTCCATTAATTATTCAGGCTGTTAATGACCCTTCTTCTTGCGTGTTAGTCTGTGGAGCTGGAGAGGCTGGCTGTTTATTTGGATTCTGATGTTAGTCCTTGGCACATAGATGAGCCATGGGAGGATTTACCACCCCGGGAATGGGATCAGGCATGTTCTGTTTGACATTGTGATCTTTTTAAGATTGAGTCTGTGTACTCTACACCCATTCCTAACTGCATTTCACGAGATTCAGATATTCAAATTTGGGACAAAGGAGGGAAAGGCAGCAGCTGTTCTTCCTGAAGAGCACTCTTACATATTGCAGCCTGTGACTGGAAACGCGAAATATTCAAAACAGCATGCTAGTTTACCTGTTAATGATGGTCAGCCTCTTCAAAAAGCAGTGGTGAATCTGGATGATGTGACACTTAGCTTGTCAAAGGTTGGTGGAAAAAGTCCCTTTTTCATTAAGACAGACAGGATATACATTTCTATAAGCATTTTTATTTTGTACATGTTGTCACAATTTATGTATGTTTTGGCAGAGTGGATACAGGGATCTGTTAAAATTAGCTGATAATTTTGCTGCATTTAATCAACGATTGAAGTATGCTCATTATCGCCCAAGTGTCGCGGTAAAATCTGATCCAAGGCCATGGTGGAAGTATGCTTATAAAGCCGTCTCAGATCAGTTGAAGAAGGCTAGGTGAGAATGCTTCTCTTCATTGCCTTTTGAATTTGTTCCCTTTCTTCAAATTTGTATTGTTATTCGGTTAATTAAAATTATTCTTCTTGATCACTGGAAATTTTGAGAAGGTAGAATGTATTGTCAAAAATGCTTCACTAATGCCTGATGTGTCTAGCATGTGATCAGCTCTAACAGGAAAGCACTGTGATTTTCTTGAAGAGTGTCAGCAGTGAAATCAAAGTCACCATTTTTATGGATATTCAAAGTAACATAGATCATGCTTCATTAATATCCTAGGTTGCAGAAATATAATCCAAAAACGGTTGTTGCTGGTTCTAGAGTATCGCTCATCCTTAGAAACTGAGTAACAAGGAACCTGTCATCTTTTATAAGGAAAACCTTGAATATCTATTAGGTTGTCTTTTTCCTCTTTTTTGTTTTTCTATTGTATGGGTATTCTTCGCCTTTTCCTGTATTTTTTTGGAGCTATATTGTTACTGTTGATGCTTGGTAATTTCTCATATGTTGCATTCTCACTTTGGCTTTTGTTCCTGTTATTTAGGATTTATGGATTTTTTTTCCTCTGTATCATGCGAAATAAATATAGGCACTTTTCTTTTTTTTTTTTGGGTGAACCGTGTGTGCTCTAGAATTTCGCATCCATAAAAAGGTTGACAGCAGGAGCTTTGCTGCAATTCTCTAGCATATTGGGACTATGTCTTGATTCCTTGCCTTTTCACTCTTTTGGATAACTTTTGGCCCTTGACAGAGAAGATACTATAGTATTACCTTTGAATTTCCCTGTAATACTCTCTCCTCTTTCAGTGGGAAATTGTCATGGGAGCAGGTCCTTTGGTATGCAAGGCTACGCAAGAAGTATATATCACTCTATGCAAAGTTGCTCAGATCTGATTCTGATCGGGTTGTAATTGATGATAATGAAGAGATCAAGGAACTTGATCGGGAACTCGACTTTGACCTTGTTCTCCAGTGGAGGTAGACTATTTTCCTGTTTAGAGTCCTGATCTATTGACAGAAAAGCCATGTGACTATTAACAAAAATAAGTGGAGATGAAACTTTTAATAAATGCTCTACTAACCTCTTTGTCACTGATAAATGCAGTTTTTCATATTTGAGCTTGTCATGACCTTTATGTATGATTTTTCTGGTTGTGTTGATGCTTGGGGATTTCCATGGTTTAAATTATACCGCAGCTTTTGCATGATTGAACCCTTAGTATGTGTCGCTTGGTAAATTTGTAAAGCCTTGAACGTTTTTGTGCAAGGGTGTTTTGCATTACCATTTTGTTTTGATTTCATTGCTTTGGTTGTTTGTCTTTGTATTATAATGTGGTGTCTTGTCTGTGGAAGTTGAATGAGTTTTTCATTTGCAGTCCTGAGTATTAGTACTCGACTGTGCTCCTTGTAAGAGCTTCTAGTTCTTGCTGATTGATTGCCTTTTTGCTTTCCTAATCGGCATGATCCTTATACTTCTTCTTTGCACAGGATGTTGGCTCACAAGTTTGTGGCCCAGTCAATGGATTCAGCGCCTTACTTAAGGAATCAAAAATCAAAGAAATCCTGGTGGCCATTTGGATGGTGATTATTTGCTATTCTCCTGCTTCCTGTTGCAAGTTCAATAACTTTTATTGCATGCTTATAATTTTGATGTTTTGTGCAACTGCCCATTTCAGGACAAGCAACTCCGTGACAGATGAAAGTGAACCGGGAAACCTCAGTGAGGATGACTGGCAAAGGTTAAACAATATAATTGGGTATAAAGAAGGTGATAGTGATCAACTTCTGGAAATCCATGGAAGAGCAGACTTACTGCATACTTCTTTGGAGATTCACATGAAACACAATGCTTCCAGGCTTGCTGATGAGAAGGAATGTCTTGCCGATCTGTCATGTGAAAATCTTGATTGTTTTGTAAACCTTTATTCTGAGGCAAAAGTGTTTGACGTACGATTGGGATCATACCAGCTATCATCTCCAAATGGTCTCCTTGCAGAGGTTAGATCTTTGGTAGTGAAATCCTTCTCCATATTCCTCCCCTTCCCTTCTATGCTTTTACCCTTTCTTTTTTCTTAGTCTCTTCTGCTAACTTGACATTTGGTCTCTGTTTTTATGCAGAGTGCAACGGGTCATGATTCATTAGTTGGTGCCTTCCGCTATAAGCCTTTTGATTCTAAAGTGGACTGGAGCTTGGTTGCTAAAGCTTCTCCATGTTATGTGACCGTAATAATTCTCTCTCTCTTCAGATACTTATTTTTCTACTGTGCTTCATGAAGTTGGGATAACTAACTGCTTTTTTCCTTTAACCAGTATTTGAAAGATTCTATTGATGGAATTGTTAACTTTTTTGAAAGCAATGCTGCTGTAAGTCAGACAGTAGCTCTGGAAACTGCTGCAGCTGTGCAGGTCTAATTCTGATCTCCTTTGTCCGCATTTTATAGTTCTATTCAGCATTAGATGGAAATTCTTTTTTCTTATCCTTTTTGATCTACAACGACTACTTTTCCATAGAAGCTTTTAAAAATTAACTATAGGCAGGTTGCAACAAGGAGTTTGATAAAATCTTACTACATTCTTCATGCAACAATGAGGCCATAATTATAAAAGATTGCCCAAAGATGCTAATATGAGTTATCACAATTGCTTATTGCCCTGGTATGAGAGGCAAATATGTCACTTTATATCCTACAAAAAAGTGCGTGGCTAAATAAATAAAAGTTAGCAAATGGAGAAGGAAAAAGTGGAATTCAGCTTATACTAGAGTTCATGAATTATAATGTATCATCTTATTTACTTCTAATTTTGGAATGTTTAATTGAGCCACTGTTTTGTAATTTTTCTTTTCTGCTGCTGTTTGCCTATCTATCTTTCTTGTTTGTTATGGATTTAAGTCTCTGTACTTTTATGGGTAAAATGTGCCACACTTTGCCTGCTACACTTTTTCAGCCATCATTGAACCCCATTAAATGGAAATATCATTTTGATAAAAAAACCTGAGTAGATTTTTCTTTTATTCCCAACACCCCCACTCCCACCCCCCCCCCCCCCAAAAAAAAAAAAACAACAACCACCACCTTTTCTTGTACTCTTCTATTACAGCCCAATGCCAACTATACCACTCTCCAGGAAAGGGAAAAAAATCTCCTGACCAGTGTCACAGAATATAGAATGGGAAAACCAATAGGAACAAAAGGGAAACAAGACAAAAAGTGAATAGATAAGGGGGCTTGGTTTGCGGAGGTGGATGGTGGCTTGGGATGTTTGGTTTCTGAGGTGTGGTGGGATAGGTGGGGTGAGAGGAGTGGAAGAAGGAAAAGAAAACGAAGTGGAAAATAAAAAAGAAAAGGAGGAGGAGGTAAACAAACAAAAAGAAGGAAAATGGACAAGAAAAAAAAGAGAATATTTGTGATATTGTCTTCTCTACAATTGTATGATAGGCTATCGCTTGTCGAAGAATGGCATATATCGAGATTTTTAGTAGGATTTATGAAAAACTAGATGACATTGTTGCTCATGTGGCAACCACACCCTTGTTTTTATCTTCTTTCTTGCTAGCAGTCTCATACTTTGTTTAAAACGGATGCAAGTTTCATGCTGATTCTTTGAACTTGAAAGTTTGCTGGAATTTATCTGTCCTTCATTTTTTGATTTGGCTAAACCCTAATACTTGTATTATGGTGTAGTATGAATAGTACATTTTGGTTATCTGAAATAGTAGGAAATTCAGGTGATTTTCACATGAAAATACATATTGCATGAACTAATAAATCACTTCCAATTTCATTCTGTGAGTCTGAATTAAAGAATGTTGGCTTTTCTTAAATGAACTTGAGAAGATGGAAGATAAATTGATCATGTACATTGACTTTTGGGAGGCATGAGGTATTTGCCTGTTTTAAGGTTGTAGAAGTTGCCAAATATTTGTCGTCTAATATTGATAGACTGTTATAGATGCAGATATTACCCCTATAATTAGTTTCTTCATATTGGCCGTGTTTACATAGATGACCATCGATGAAGTCAAGCGCACTGCACAACAACAAGTAAACAGAGCACTGAAGGATCAGGCCAGGTTTGTTGTCTTTTTAGTTAAAATAAATGAACTGCACACCCATTTTTTTGCCCCTCTTTCAAAGCAGCCCATACTTCAATAAAGTTAAACTGACTCCTTTCTTCTATGTGATATAAATGCATGCCCTAGCTCATTAGTTATTGTAATATTTGATGACTTTTATCATGACATCTTACACTCATTGAGGGATAAATTAGAGTGCATGATTAATTAGACTGCATTGTTCACTTGCTTCTAGGTTTTCCTTGGATTTAAATATTGCAGCTCCCAAGATTACCATACCTACTGACTTCCATCCGGATGACGCCCATTCCACTAAGCTTCTGCTTGACTTGGGAAATTTGGTAATCCGTACCCAGGTAAATTTAGAACCTTTTTACCTGTGCGCCCATAGTTTTCCAAGGCCTGTGGTGAAAATTTTCGACATGTTTAGGATGGTACTGAGTCGGTTCCACCTGAGGAGATGAGCATGTACTTGCAATTTGATCTGGTTTTGAGTGATGTCTCAGCATTTTTGGTTGACGGTGACTACCACTGGAGTCAAGCTTCTCCGGATCGAACTGTTGGTTCATCCAAGCATAGTGTTATTAACTTCTTGCCCATTATTGATAAGTGTGGGGTCATTGTAAAGCTTCAACAGGTAACCTAATTTGCATAATTATTCTAATTTTGGCATCATAAGTATGTCATTTGACTAAAAACATCCCATCCAGATCCGACTCGAAAACCCTTTGTTTCCTTCTACAAGACTGGCGCTGAGGCTTCCTTCCCTGGGTTTTCATTTCTCACCTGCTCGTTATCACCGGCTTATGCAAGTTGCAAAGATCTTTCAAGGAGAAAATAAAGATAATGCTGATTTTATTCGCCCTTGGGACCAAGCTGATTTTGGGGGATGGTTGTCTATTCTTGCTTGGAAGGTGGCTGATATAGATACTTGTCTTCATTTTGCTCTTAGTTTCCCACTTCAAAGATGAATCCTTGTTTTTCCTTCCTTTGTCCGTCTTTCTAGATTAATATTTTGCTATGCTTTCATATTTCCTTCCATATGGTCTTCTTGTGTAGGGTATGGGAGGTAGGGAGGCTATATGGCAGCGGAAATACCTCTGTATTGTGGGGCCTTTTCTTTATGTGCTCGACAATCCGAACTCCAGATCATACAAGCAGTACATGAGGTTCAAACATCTACTTATCTGATGTTATTTAATAATTTTCCAGCATGTGCTGTACTGTTGAGTGACCAATCTAGGTTCCATTTTCTCGAGGAGAAGTTTGAATTCCTTCCTCTGGGTTATATACATTATTATTTTCTGTCACTTTTTACTAGTGGAAACTGAAAACGAATGCAAAAAAAAAAAAAAGAAGAAAAAAAGAAGAAAAAAAAAGAAAAGGACAAACAATGAGAGGTAAAACGGACAAGCCTAAGATGAATAGATTAGGAGAAACAGAAAAGACAAAAGAGTTGGAAGTATTGTTAATCAGAAATGGAGAGTAGTTTTCCCTCCATCTCACATGAGAAACATTGCACTTGGTATGATGGCAGAAACAAATATCATGACTTTGGGTCTTTTCCCACCATCTGAATCCAAAATATGCAGGATCTGTAGTCACTCTCTTCTGTCATGTAGATGCTTCATGTGGCGAGTTGCCCCTTTACTTTTGTGGCGTGGGTACTATCTTTGTTTTGGAGATGTTTGAAGAGGGCATAAATTGGACTGGTTTTGGGACACTAGGACTAAGGTCAATATTATTTCATCTTGTTTGTTTTCAAATATATTTGCAGAAAGCAACACTCGTGTTAATTTGCGATATGGGGTTATGTAACTTTCAAAGAAAAATTCATCATTATTGTTGCCATAAAAATTCATCATGTTTTCATAATGGTTAAATTACTCACAACCCCCCTATGCTTTTGCGTGAGACCACATGATGCCTGTTTCAAAACATCCACATAACCCCCTTGTGGTTTTATGTGAAGTGGAAATTTGACAAAAAATAGTCTCCATAGTGTCGTCAGTTGAAATGCCAGTATTGCCCTTACTTAAGCAATAAATTGAATGAGGGTCTAACCACTTTGCATAAAACCATAGGGGGGTTATGTGGATAGATGCAAAACCACCATCTTATTAGGATATTTATGCAAAACCGTAGGGGGGTTAAGTGGATATTATAATTTCATCACACATACTTTTGAAGCACGTATTGGTCAATTGCGGTAACCGAATATGCTTTCTGGCCATTTGCCACTTCACATAAAACCATGGAGGGGGTTATGTGTATAATTTGAAACCTTAGGGGGTTTTGTGTTATTATGCAAAAGCACAGGGGGGTTATCAGTAACTTACCCTTGTTCAATCTAAGATCACATTCTGGATTTTTTTAGAAAAATAAATATCTTAAACTTATACTAATTGTTAAATATACTTGGTAATGTTTTCGTCATTATTGGATTCATTTGGAATTACATTTCTTCTTGCACGGTTATGGGTTTATGTAATTAATATCATGATATTGCATTCTGGATCTATTTAAATTTTAAAAAAAATTTTTCCTAGCAGGGGGTGGGATTTAAGAAGCGGGAATGAAGCAGGGATTAGAACCTAGAACCTCTAATTCCTAGGGCCTCAACCTTAGCCACTAGACCAAAGACTCTTATGTAAACATGGATTTTTGGCATAAAAGTTTATTCACATTCTCATTTATCAAAGAACTTCTAGGAAATAATACTATATTCACAGTTGAAAGAAGCTGTGCAACAGTGGGTAGCCATTGAAATGAATTGAACACGATCTTATTGGACAGGTTTAGTAATATTTGCACTGGATCTGTAACTGAAACTTTGTAATCCCTAGTGGCAAAGTCAGTTGAGAGATGCTCTCAAACATCAGCTGACATAAAAGTGAGGATGAGATTGAAGCTGCATGATTCTCTTTTAGGAAAAAATGACCAAAATACTCCCTCAATGAAATATTCACTATCATAATAAACTCAAAAATAGTTTGGAAAACTACTAATAGGGCATTTATACATCTTTATCAATTAGGTATCCTTCCATATTGGTTCCATCTATTCTTATAATGATGAGTTTGAAGTTGGACTTCTTATAAAGCCTATGGATCTTTTCCGTTGGACCTTATTCTGGCTGTCACACACAATTCTATTTAATTATTTAGCTGAGAAGTTCTGGATAACGTATTTATTCCTTGACTTATCAAGTGTTATATGTCTCACATTAGTCATGGATTATCAGATTATTGATTCGTAATCGTTAGAAATTTGGGTGATGCATTTTATTTTTTTTCTCCTTTTGCTGGATGAGACGTGCTATGCCCTTTTTATGTACTTCTTCATTAACTAATGAACATAAATACTTTTCTTGTTCCAGCCTTCGAGGGAAGCAGCTACATCAAGTTCCTGCAGATATCGCTGGTAATCTAGAACACGTGTTGGCTGTTTGTATCTCTGGGCTGTCCATTAACAAGGTTTGTGTTGAAATAACCTGGAAGTCATTGTAGTAGTACGAAAATTTTTTTTTTTTTCGTTTCTAACCTTGCTTACTGTCATCTAATCTCTTTACAGATAGTAGAAGATCCAAATGCCTTAGTATTACGTTGTGACTCTGAAGATACAAGGAGGACCTGGCAGAGCTGGTTGCAGGGGGGCATTTATCGTGCATCGGTAAATCTTTTTCTGTCACCTAGTTTGTATCTGAAATTTTGGAAATCTTTAATGTCAAGGAGTATTGCACATAATTCCACATTTCAAAGACTCAGATATGCTTGACTGCAAAGTTAGGTTTCTGTTCTTTAACAGCAATGTGTCAACTAATCTGACTCTTTGTCAACAATTAACTTCTCAAAGTACATAGTTTAGTCAATTATTGGGAAAGTTTACTTGAATGATGGAGGAGCGAAAATTTTGGAGTAGCATGAGTATTAAGTCTAGAAAGATGAATGGTGAACTTTTCTTTTTTCATCAATACCAAGTGACGCTCTGATCTTTCCTAGTTTCTCAAATGGAAGTGCACTTGAGCCATCAAGTATTTTGGACGACAATGAGTCTATCAAATTGAGTAACCCCTTTGTCATGCATCTATGGACCTACAGCATACAAACAGGCCTGGTCAACGCGATGCCTTTAGGGTTAACTGGAATTGATGGAAGAAATGTTTGTTATTTGGTACCGGAGGTGCTATGGGAGATCAAAATTAGGCTCTGAGTTTGTGGACATTTTATGTCCTGTTGATTTTTATAAGCTCGTTAGGAATATGGCCTACTAGGCAGTAGGTGGGATGCTAGAAGTCATTTTTATATTTTTGATTGTAAATTTCAGTAATTGAAGTTGATTTTGCTGGAATCATGTTTTCACTTTGAGGCTGGAGATGGCTCCTACTACCAGTTTTCCTGTACACTTGGACTGGGGTGCCCCCCTTTCACTAAAATTTTCTGCACCCTTTTTGACTGCATTGTATTCATACTGTTACATTTTTGTCTTCTTTTTCCTTGGGGATCTCTATCTTGGGATTTTTATTTGTCTAAGGATCTTTGGGAAATGGAATCAGATGAAACAGCATGCTGACTTGATTCTTCTTTATTAGAGTTTTAATATTTCCTTCTAAATGTGATGATTAGGAGTTATCTTTGTTCTTTAAATATATCTATACACACACACACAGACACACCGACAAATATCTTTTATTCAAATGTATTTATGCACACATGCAATATCCTAATGCACATACACATAGTTCATGAAAATGGTATTGCAAAGATGGGCTCTGGAAATAGGTTCTGTACCATGGGTTGAGATTACTTAAGAATTATTCAGGATGTATCCAAGTACCATTAAGCTTTTAGAATGTTGGTTGATGACTGAATGTGGTCTTCATGTTAATGTAAAGCAGTAGTTGGGCCAAACAAAAATCGTGATTCATTTATATTGTTACGATTGTGTTCTAATTTGGTCAAGCATCTTTTAACAAGATATGCATTTGATGCTGAAATTTTTTGTTTCCCTCTTACCGTCCTTTATTGCAGTTCAGAGTTCTTTGTTAAGTGATAGTTTTGCTCAATTTATGTTTTTTTTACCAGAGGTCTGCTCCTATCACTGGTGTCTTAGAGACCTCATCGGACTCTGAAGACTCTGAAGTTGAACGTGTTGACAACCAAGACTTGTTGGACTCCTCAAAGATGGAGAAAGTTTTCTTGATTGGTGTGCTTGATGAACTAAAGATACGCTTCAATTACAATTGTCAGGTAGTTAAGTGGATTCTAAACAGTTGTTGTCTCATAGTGTGACAGCTAAGTAACTCTGTTGTTGGTTGATGTACCTTTTCATAGAATGATCAGAATTTCTTGAAGGTGCTTCTAGCTGAGGAGAAACGCTTATTTGAATTCCGAGCAACTGGTGGTCGGGTGCGAATATTTTGTGGCTTTTAGTGGTAGTTTTTATGCTTTTGTTTCCTGGAAGAGTTATAATTGATTTGCTTTGCCAGGTTGAGCTGTTGGTAAAAGATAATGATATGTTCATTGGGATGGTCCTCAAATCATTAGAGGTGGAAGATTTAATTTGCCGGAAAGGGAGATCTCAGTATTGTTATCTTGCAAGATCAGTCATCAGGAGTTCTGATGCACTGTCCCTGTCAAATGTAAATGGGGATGGAACTTTTGTGAGTGATGATTTAAGTCAAGGTGAAGGTGAAGATGAATTTTACGAGGCTTCAGAGACGCTTAATGATGAGAGCCCCCAGTCATGGGGGACTCAACCTGATTATTTTAGTTCGCAAAATTTTCTCTCAGTAGATAATACTATCAGAGCCCTTAGTTTCTCCCGTCTCTCTGGTCTACTTCCCGCCAACAATAGTCATCCTGGGGATGATAATATGGAAGTCAATGACACATTAGATAGCTTTGTGAAGGCTCAAGTTATATTTTATGATAAGAATTCATCCCTTGATGAGGGTGTTGAGACAAAGGTCAGCTGTTCCTGGAGAGTTGATTTCTTCTTGCTCTTCCTTTCTTTTTCTCCTTACCTACTTGTAATATGCCGTGTCCTTTGTCTTTCAGGTGGCAGTTTCGCTTGCTACTCTTTCATTTTTTTGTCGCCGGCCTATGATACTGGCCATCATGAATTTTGTTAATGCTATAAATGTTCAGGATGACAGTTGTGAGTCATTCCGTGATACTTCGGCTGCTATGGTGCAATCTGATGTTTCTGACAAAAATGCAGTTGACAAACAGGTCTCAGATGTATTGGAGGAGCGTGTGGCCCAAGGTTTTATTGGGAAGGGCAAGTCCAGAGTCATCTTTTATTTGACACTGCAAATGGCTCGTGCTCAAATTTTGTTGATGAAGGAAAATGGTTCTAAGCTTGCTACTTTGTCACAGGATAATTTTCTTACTGATATTAAGGTTTTGGAATTCTTTCTCATTGCTTAATTTGTGTTATCTTGTGAATTTTATACCTTTGATCTTCTATAACAAATTTTCCCATGTTATAGGTGTTTCCATCTTCTTTTAGTATAAAGGCATCCCTTGGAAACTTAAGAATAAGTGATGACAGTCTTCATAGCAACCATATTTATTTCTGGGCCTGTGATATGAGAAATCCAGGCGGTAGTTCATTTGTGGAGGTATTATTTTATGATGAGCTTTGTTATTAACAAAAGTTCCAATTTCTTCTTTGCATGACTCTGCAATATGTCAACTCACATATAAACAGTTTGTTTTGCAATGTTGTGTTTGATGCAACAGATTATCTTCTCATTGTTTCTGAGAGATTGTTTGCCTAATTAGTTATGCTGAACCCTTTAGCTTCCAGACAGAGACGCATTATAATCATGTAGAGATGTTAAAAACAGAACCTCTTTCTTGTGTAAAGAGACCTAATTGTGCCTTGTTGTCTTTGCTCTCTTACTTTGTGATTAGATGGTATTCAGTTTCCCTTTTTTTTTTTGTCATTCTAACAATAAGCTTATCTCTAATGGGATGTGTGAAGAGGGTTAGATCGCTGAGCCTTTTCATTCATGTCTAGAATAGGACAGCAAACTGTCTCTTGGTTTAAGGAGCAATTCACTTAATTTTTTAATTTGTGTAGGTTGAATGCTTGTGGCTCTATATCTGCTATTCTCCTTCCACTTTCTTCTAGAAGATCCATATCTTCTGTCTTCTCATACTTTTGAGGATTTTCTTTTCCTCTTATTTTGGCATTACGTGTCTCCAAATACATTGTAGAAATTGTCAACCTAACAGATATGGATATGGCATTAACTATCTCCAAATACATTGTAGAAATTGCAAACTAACAGATATAACTGTTAATGTTGCATCATTGAGTTAATCATTTGACCTTGACCCGTAGTTTTTAGATAGTGTATAGCTTCTAGATAGTGTAACTTGATCAGATTGGTTAACCATTTCCAACAAAGTGTTAAGTGTTTTCAGTTTTATATTGATGTTTGCAAGTTCTAGGAGTATATTGGAGTGCTGCACTTGATTAAAGTGGATGAAGAAAAAGAGGAAAAGTTTGAATATCAGAATTTTGAGAAGTTTGGTGGAGATTCTAAACGAAATTTTCCTCCTACTTTGCAAGCCCTAGGATGGTTATTCTAGTAGTCATCTAGAATTAATCTGGAATCATATTATTCCATATGTGTTGGGTTAGGATTAAGAGGCTAAAAGTTCAATGCTCGTGGCTCCTCCCATAGTTGTCTGGAAAAGATTGGCATATGCAGTGGTACATTGTCAAACAATGAAGTTGTTGCTGTATTCTTGCACCTTGACCTTCCTGGTTAAAGGGAGCAACCTTAGACTTGTCTCAAGGCTTTAACAATATCATGAGAGATTAGAATAAGAACTAAGCATGAGAATGTCAGTGCTGTTGTCATTTGAATCCTGAAGGATGAAGAGAACAGAGGTTACAAGAGCACGAAGAGATAAATATAAAAACCATGGATTTGCATTTTAAGCTTTTTGCATATGGATCTGTTGTGTTGGCATCTAGTTCATAAAATAGAACATGCGGTATTTTACATCATGATAATGCATAAGCTGCTGGAAAGACCCAATGCTGTTGCTCTGCCTTGATCTTTTTTATATACTCTAGCATGCGTTATTTTCTTGTATTAGCTTGCTGTTCTATGAATCTAGTCTATTAGCTTTTATTAGTTTGTATGATTAATTGCCACCTCCTTTCATTTATCTTCTATTGAAATTCTGTCTGTAATTTTGTAGTTGGTCTTTTGTTCATTTAGTCCTGATGATGAGGACTATGAGGGTTATGATTACAGTCTTGTTGGTCAGCTTTCTGAAGTCCGTATAGTATATTTGAATCGCTTTCTCCAAGAGGTTAGTAACAATTGCGGTTTTCAACTACTTCTTGCTGTTTTACTAAATTACTACAACGATATTAAAATGCCTTGTAGGTTATCAGCTACTTCATGGGTCTTGTTCCCAGTAATTCGGTGGATATTGTCAGGGTAAAAGATCAAAAAACAAATACAGAAAAGTCATTTACTCGAAGTGAAATTGAAGGGTCACCTGCAGTAAAATTTGATCTTTCCCTGAGGAAGCCAATAATATTAATGCCCAGGAGAACGGACAGCCTTGAGTAAGATTTCTTCTTTTTTTTTTCCCCCTCTTTTTCGAAGTAATATTCTGCAAACCTTTTCATGTGCATGTGAAGTGTAGGGAGATTTAGTCAAGCTAACCATTTACATCATCTTTCTACAGCTATCTCAAGCTCGATATTGTGCATATAACTGTGCAGAACACCTTCCAATGGTTTCACGGAAGCAGACAAGAAATGAATGCTGTCCACATGGAAATTTTAACTGTTAAAGTAAGACTGATCCTGATATGTGGTAGTTGTATACTAATGAAAGTTGATAGGTGGAGAAACTGATAGTTTGTTGGCTGTTTGTAGGAGACCTAAAGCTAAGCTACTTTGTTTTTGAGAATATGCCATGGCATGTCCTCAACTGGCGGATTGTTTCTGCTAGTTGATTCATAATATTTTCTTTTTGCAACTGACTGATCCACATGGTTTTATTTTAACTGTTAAAGTAAGATTTATCCTGATATGTGGTAGTTGTATACTAATGAAAGTTGATAGGTGGAGAAACTGATAGTCTGTTGGCTGTTTGTAGGAATTTGAGAATATGCTGTGGCATGTCCTCAACTGGTGGATTGTTTCTGCTTGTTGATTCATAATATTTTCTTTTTGCAACGGACTCTCACCATAGAGAATTGTATATTATATTCAACACTGGCAGCTTCTTCTCTTCCGGTCATTCTTTTGTAGAATTCGGTTTCCATACATATTTCTATAACCTATTTTGATGTCCTAATGTAGGTTGAAGACATAAACCTGAATGTTGGTTCTGGAACAGAATTAGGTGAAAGTATAATGCAGAATGTCAATGGTATTTCTGTTATTATTCGGAGGTCACTCCGCGACTTGCTGCATCAGATTCCTGATACAGAAGTTGATATTAAGGTAGTATAGTCTGAACTAATTCAACTTGGTGCCATCTAGAAAGGTTCTCCATTTCCTTTTCGAACTTTGTTCTATAATTTGCCAAGTTTTAAATTTTTTTCACTTTACAATGGCAGAAGAATAAAATCGTATTCTTGAAGAGATATCATTGTTTTTTTTGTTCAGATTGAAGAACTCAAAGCAGCTCTTTCCAACAAAGAGTACCGAATCATTTCAGAATGTGCACAGTCTAATTTCTCAGAGACTCCAAACTTGGTTCCTCAACTGAATGTTTCCTCATCTGCTTCAGTAGAGGTGGCGGGACCTTCTGTTCCTGTAGATTCTAATGCAACAGAATCTGGAACTCTGGGTAGGGAAAAGTGGATTTCCACCAAGGTTTCTGTTATCATTGATTTAGTTGAACTGAGCCTTTACTATGGCGTAACAAGGGATGCATCTCTTGCAACTTTGAAGGTGACTGATTCTTCCTTGTCTTCATTTTTCTTGTATACCAACCTCAAAACTTGTCTTACTAAATTTTTTCCCTCCTGTCTATGAAAAACATCTAAATGTCTAGATATGATGTGATTTGGCCCATTGACGTGAAATTTCAGCAAAAGGCAGATAATAGCTTTGTATACTAACCTCAAAACTTGTCTTACTAAATTTTTTTCCCCTCCTGTCTATGAAAAGCATCTTAAATGTTTAGATATGGTGTGATTTGGCCCATTGATGTGAAATGTTTTCAGCAATTGAGCTTTGTCAAGGCAGATAATAGCTTTAAATATATGTTTGACAGAATCAGTTTTCCAGAAAAAGGTAGCAAACTTAGAAATTAGGTTCCCCACTTCTTTAATCATACCAAGCAAGGGAAAGGTAACATACTTCTATTGCCTTTTTTCTCTAGATCATTATAGCATGTGGACAAGGGCTCTTGGGTCAGGAACTTTTGTACACTGGTTTTCTTGGTCTTGGTATCTCATCTTTGTTTTTCCACTTTGAAAACACTTTCATATCCTTGCGGCTTCTTATCAGAGGATTTTTAAGTACTCATATGGATCTTTTTGTTTGTATTCTCTTGTGACAATGATATTGAGTTCTTTTCAAGTAGGACCAATACAGGCCTCTAGTCATCAGCACAGGGCATTGGTAACATTCATGTTTCATGGTGGAAGAGAGATGAGGATGGATTAAGATAAGGAGAATAAATTAGTTGGCTTTGCTTATTATTCCTTAAAATTTTGAAGAATTCGTCAAAGGGGGCCACCAGCTTGATTCATGGAAAGGCTAAAAGCATCACCTTAGTCATATATGCAATTGTCTGCAGGTGTTTTAGATATATTTACTCAATATTTTAACACAGAAAAGCTTTTCCTGCATGAAACTCTGCTTCACTTTGTATGATGTTTTAGGATGTTTTTCGTACACCTAGGCAATTATTTGTTTACCCACTCTAATGTATGATAGGTGCTTTGAAAATCTGCTTTATAAGTTAGTATCTTGTACTGGATGTATAAACTATGCTTGCTTTTCAAACTCCCAGTATTCAATTTTGTATTTCAGGTTAGTGGTGCATGGTTTCTCTATAAATCAAATTCATCAGGGGAAGGTTTTCTGTCTGCAACTCTTAAGGATTTTACCATGCTTGATGATCGGGAAGGTACAGAAGAAGAACTTAGGCTGGCAATTAGGAAGCCAGAGACCATTGGATATAATCCTACAGATTTTTTGACTGATGAGGTGGTTCCTCATAAGATGGAGAACAAAATGGGTGATATTGATAGGAAACCAGTTCCTACAATGCTCGTTCTTGATGCTAAATTTAGTGATTATTCCACATCTCTATTCTTATGTATCCAGAGGCCACAGTTACTCGTTGCACTTGATTTTCTGCTTGATGTTGTTGAGTTTTTTGTGCCTACGGTTCGTGGTATGCTATCAAATGAAGAGGATAAGAATGCTTCGCACATTATAGATGGAATTATTCTTGATAAGTCCACATTCAGTCAACCTAGTGCTGAATTCTCACTCTCTCCGCTGAGACCGTTGGTTGCCGATGATGAAAGATTTGACCTTTTCTTATATGATGGTAGAGGTGGGACATTGTATTTGCTGGATAGACAGGGTTCTAATCTCTCATCTCCAAGTATGGAAGCTATTTTTTGTGTAGGAACTGGAAAGAAGCTTCAATTTACGAATGTTACCATCAAGGTATATCATATAATTTCTTGTTGAATTACTCATTATAGGTTTTGGTGCATAGAATCTTAACTATTGGAACTCACTTTCAGTTAAACCATTTGTTGTTGGTGCAGAATGGACAGTTCTTAGACTCTTGTATGTTTTTGGGATCTAATAGCAGCTATTCAGCTACTGAGGATGATAATGTCTTCCTTGACGAAGGGGATAGTGGTCATTCTCAGAGCTATTCTGGGGAGAGTAGTAACAGTGTCTCTCCACAGAATGTTGCTGGCAGCAGATCCACTGAGATTGTCTTTGAGTTACAGGTCATTAATGACTGTTTTTAGCACTCTTTGGTTTTTTCTTTGGATTAATTACATGAATTCTTTGAGGATCCATTTGCATCGCCAAGAAATTAAGACAGAGAACATATAGATTAACTCCTTGATGCAGTTATGACATCTTCCTGTAGCTTAAATTGTATGACAGACCCTTGAACTTTTTAAAATTTCTTCCCAAAACTTGGATAGTTCTAGTAAACGTTTTGTTCTTCATAATTTTTTTGCATATGTATCGCTTTGAGTATTACACAATTGCAGGCAATGGTGGAGTATTATGGTAACTGCTGTTTAGATTTTTGCAAGGACTTTGCAGCACTAGGAACTTTTTTGAAAGTCTTTCTTTACTGAGTCTGGGGGCAATTGGTGATTTGAATCTTCAGTAAAATCAACTGGTTTTGTTGTACATTTTTCTTCAATAAGTCTGGCAGCATAGAATAAATTGGCTCCCATTAAGAACATCTTGAAGACCTCGCCATGCAGTCGGTTTCTCCCTGTGGAATTTTCTCATAAAAGCATCTTAAGAGGTTATGGAGTGGGAAAGTAAATCTCATTCTGCATGTCCTTAGAAAAAGGGACAAAATGTAGTCACCTGCTGCATTAAAGAGTTTCAGTAGTATATAGAGTTTCTTCTCCAAAATCTATGTACTTGTCTACTATTTAGTGGGATTATATTGAACTATAAAAGGAGCACATTGCTCTTGGATGCTGCTCCGATATGTTCAGATGCATTTTAAGAATCCAAGACCAAAGTTCTTGAGGGCAAAAAAGTAGAGTGCAGCAGTTGAAGACTGTGCCTTCGACCAATATTTTTGTGGTTCCCTGAAAGTTCTCCTTTGTGGAAAAACATCTTTTTGGAACTTTTGGGTAGCTGTACTTGTATACAGGCAGATGATGTTTATTTACAGGATTTCTAGTCCTTGGACCTAAAGAATAAATTCATTAGTTAAATGAGTATCTACTTCCTATTATCTTTTGCTGCATTTTATTCAATTTTTCATGGTACAGCGTTTAAGTTTTGAAAAATTGGCTTCTAGAAAATTGGATTGAAGATCTTTTTCTTTTGGAAGGGTTCATTTGAAAATTGGCATTGGTTTCTTATATTTTTTATGTATGTCTAGTCGAATTTAAATTATTTTCTGCTTTGCAGGCTATTGGTCCAGAGCTCACCTTTTATAATATGTCAAAGGATGTGGGAAAATCACTTCTCCTTTCTAACAAGCTTTTGCACACGCAATTAGATGCATTCTGCAGGTTCTTTCCTTCCTAATTAATTGTTCATTGGGTTGAAATTATTCTTCCATTGGCTCTGTTTGTTATTTGATTTTCCTGCATTGAGTGATCTAATGGCACCGGTGGGATGCTATCCTTCTCTTAGGATTCTTACGTGTCACCTGACAATCAGATTTTTACAATATTTATGCTGTGAAATTGATTGTCATGTTTGCATACATGTTTAAGGTTTTGTGATTATATAGTGTATTTTCCTAGTTAATCTGTGATTTAATACAAAAAATGCATGTTGAAAATGTGTCTTCTCAGCAGTTGTTTTACAAGTTGTATGTACTTGATGAAACAAATGCTTACTTAATTTTTTCTGGCAGACTTGTTTTGAAGGGTGACACTATTGACATTACTGCTGAAGCTCTTGGATTTACCATGGAGAGCAATGGAATCCGGATTTTGGAGCCTTTTGATACCTCTATGACGTACTCGAATGCTTCTGGGAAGACAAATATGAAATTGACTATTTCAGATATATATATGAATTTTTCATTTAGCATTTTGAGATTATTTCTGGCTGTTGAAGATGACATTTTGGCTTTTCTGAGGATGTCATCAAAGAAAATGACTGTGGTGTGCTCCGAATTTGACAAAATTGGAACCTTTAAAAGTAGGTCACAACATCAAGTAGCTTGCTGATAGTTCCTTTCTGAGATTGACTTACAAAATTGTTCTTTGAAAGTTAAATGATGTGACTGATTGTTCTGCTGCAGACCCTTCCAATGATCAGGTATATGCATTTTGGAGACCACGTGCACCACCTGGTTTTGCAATACTTGGTGACTATCTCACACCATTGTGAGTGAACTTCTTAATGATTTTTTTCTTTTTGGTATTACTTTTATTCATTATATCAACTGAGTTTGGTTCCATGTGACAGAGACAAGCCACCAACCAAAGGAGTTGTTGCTGTTAATACCAGCTTTGTACGAGTAAAGAGACCTGAGTCTTTCAAGCTTGTTTGGCCCTCAACCTCAATGGATAGCTTTTTGTCTGAAGGTGTAATTAATGGTGAGGACAGCAGTGATGGAGGCAAGGTTTGTTCCATATGGTTCCCTGAAGCGCCAAAAGGCTATTTGTCAATGGGATGTGTGGTTTCTTCTGGAAGGAAAGAACCTCCAGCATCTTCTGCTCATTGCATCTTAGCATCCTTAGTTTCATCCTGTGGCCTTAGAGATTGTATAAACATTAGCCTGAACAGTTGGTACGTGAAAGTTTTGATTTCTGTCTATATTTTATGTATTGAAGCTACCATTTCAAGTATGTGGCATCTGTTCATAAGGCAAATGCATTGTATGCTTTTCTTCGTCGTTCTGAACATGCCACTGATTTTATTGAACATCATCATGCCTTGTGAGGAGTTATGTTTAGTTTTAATTGTGCACTGTAATTGGATATTACATGTCTAAATGCTATCCGTTTTGAGCAAATCCTATGATGCCATATCTAGAATTAATTGAATGGTACTCAAGAAGCTGTATTTGCTTGGTACTTTGCTGGGTGTAATATATGATTTTGCTAGCCAGAATCTGTGTGATTTTTTGTGGTGCTACTGAACTAAATTTTAACAATTTTACTTATTTTCAATCTGCAGTTATCCAAATTTGGTATTCTGGCGTGTGGATAATTCTGTTGGCACCTTCCTGTCAGCTGACCCCACTACAATGAACTTGATTGGTAGAGCTTATGAATTACGGCATTTAGTTTTTGGTTTTCCATATATTTCTTCACAAACATTGAAGAGCTCAGACATCCAAACGCTTCCTTCTGCTCGTGAACATACCATCCGGTCAGAAAGGTCATCAACTGTAAATTCTGGAAGGAGATTTGAGGCTGTTGCTACTTTTCGGTTGATCTGGTGGAATCAAGGCTCAGGATCTAGAAAGAAATTATCCATATGGCGCCCTACCATACCTGAAGGGATGGTTTACTTTGGTGATATTGCTGTTAAAGGGTATGTGATACACACAGTTTCCTATTCTTCGCGTCACATAGCTGATCTGCATTTGATGCTTGCAGTATACTCGTTTGCAGTTTTCTTTTTTTCGGCCTTATCTGTTTTTGGGCATTGCTCATGTTTCATGACTCTTTTTAAGGTATGAACCTCCAAATACCTGCGTGGTCCTTCATGATTCTGGAGAGGAGCTGTACAAACCCCCTCTGGACTTTCAACGTGTTGGACAGATAAAGAAACATAGAGGGGTGGATAATATTTCTCTTTGGCTGCCTCAGGCTCCACCTGGCTTTGTTTCCTTGGGTTGTGTTGCTTGTAAGGGTGCTGCAAAGCTATCTGATTTCAGTTCCTTAAGATGCATTCGTAGTGATATGGTCACAGGGGATCAATTTCTTGATGAAAGCTTGTGGGATACATCTGATATAAAATTCGTGAAAGAGCCATTTAGCATATGGACGGTTGGAAACGATTTGGGTACTTTTATTGTACGTGGTGGTTTCAAGAAACCCCCAAGAAGGTTTGCCTTAAAGCTTGCTGACCCAGATATTGCAAGCTGTTCAGATGACACTGCAATTGATGCAGAAATAAGAACTTTCTCTGCAGTTCTTTTTGATGACTATACTGGCTTGGTATGTTATTTTTATCAATCTTCTTCACATGATTGGCAAAAGTGAGAGGCAGCTTGAACTGTACTCCAATAAGTTTAGATTTTAACTGTCTATGGTGATTAGATGTCATTTTGATAGTATTACCCCCTTTTTCCCTGTCGATTGGTCACTTGACTCATAATTTAAGAGCAGTGCATTTGTTATGTATTTTCTTCTGACATTTGTTAGAGAATACTGAAGTTACCGTTTATTTAAATATCATGGAAGTGAAAGTCATTGAGACATGTGAATCGTCATTAGTGGCATGTATGGGATTGAGAATTAATCATCTATGACTATTGATAATGAAAATTTTTGGAAAATTCAAATGCAATCCATAGAAATCGGAGTGGGGTATCATCTCTTTTGGAATCAAATAAAATCCTTTGGAAAAAAAAATTGAAACTGTATAATTTGTCTTTACAGCAATTATCTGATCAAAGATAGCTTTACCAAATCCAGGGAAATTCTTCATTGTTTTTTCTGAAGCTTCATTATTATTGTATGAATTTAACCTGTTTCTCTCTTGATTGTAAGTGCATGGAAATGGCATAACAACTGTCATTTTGGGTATTTGCAGATGGTACCGTTGTGTAATTTATCTTTAAGCAGCATTGGATTCAGCTTACATGGAAGACAGGACTTCTCGACCTCCTGTCTTAGCTTCTCTCTGACTGCTAGATCATACAATGACAAGTACGAAGCTTGGGAGCCTCTTATTGAACCAGTTGATGGATCATTACGGTAATCCTTTAAAACAAAATCTGCTTGTCATTTTTAAGGTGCTTTTCAGAGTTTAGGTTTCTGTCTGGGGCCCTAGCAAGAAAAAGATTGAGATCTGGCCTTTTGACAATCATGATCATTGCTTATCAGGTCTAGACACCAAGTTAGAAACTCATAATACTCGTCTAACTGAAATTACAAACAACTATTAGTTATGGACCAATCATGGACTCTCCTGTCTGATAAATCTTTGGATTCATTGCATACTTTTCACTTCCTCTTATCTTCCCTGAGAAGTAAGATGCCTCAATCACCTGATGCCGGATCTTTTGTGATGGTCAACAAGTTTCTTTCCCTGCACATGGAATATTGATATTCTAAATGGTTATTCACTGACAGGTACCAGTACAATCCCAATGCACCAGGCGCTGCTTCGCAGCTGCGTTTGACCCCCACTGGGGATCTCAATATGAATATTTCTGTGTCCAATATCAATATGATATTTCAAGCTTATGCAAGCTGGAATAGTCTTAGTCAAGTTCATGAATCGTACACGGTAATTTCTGTTGCCTCTGCAACCTACAGTAGTCATTTAGTCATTGGATGCCAATTTGCTGTTCTGGTGTGTTAACTTGAAGGCCATTTTGTACTTACAAATGAAATCTGTTCGATATATTATGACTCAACTTATTAGTAATACTTCCTGATCAACTCCCTCCAGAAATTACAATCGCACTTCAATTTGAACTTTCTATGAATAATAAATAATGTATCTGGATTTTAGCTACTTCTAATGTTGCTGTTTGTGAATAAACTTTCCTGTCTTAATTTTTTTAATTGGGCCTTTGTCTTGTTTTGGGAGAAAACTTGTTTATGGGCTTGCCTGAAATGTAATTGTTAAAAAATTCAAACTCAACAGATTGAGAGTTTGATACATGTGAACCAAAGTATACCAGAGCTTTGCTGCATGGTTTGCATAAGTATGTCAAACAAAATTGTGTTGTATGGCCTGCTTAATGTTGTTTGTTTTCATCAGTTATATTGAGGTCCTCCTATTTGGCATTTCGAAAGATGTTACATCATTTTTGAAGTTTTACTAGGTTTAGGTTGTCTTGAAAAAAAGTATGGTATGATTATCAGATGGAGCATTTTATTTCATATACAAAACTCAAGTAGGTGTATTCCATGATGGACGAGGTTTTATGTTGTATATATTTATCGTACTTGTTTTTTCTTTTTTGGCTTTATTCAACAGGAAGCTATTTCTCCAAAAGGAGGAGCTATCATTGATATGCATCACAGAAAGAGTAACTATCTTATTCCACAAAACAAACTCGGTCAGGACATTTTTATCCGAGTTGCTGATGTCAAGGGCCTTTCCAACATCATTAAGATGCCTTCTGGAGAGAGAAAGCCATTAAAAGTGCCAGTGTCAAAGAATATGTTAGATTCTCATTTAAATGGAAATCTGTGTCAGAAGCTCACACAAATGGTGACTATCATAATTGCAGAGGCAGAGGTTGCTCTTTACTATAGCTCCATGAGATATTTTTTTCTTACACTTTTTATAAACTATGGTTCTTTACGTTAAAATTGCTTTGTAGTTTTAAAAAGTAACAATCCAATCAAAAATACACTCATTACAACATTTTCTTTTATTATCTTCCATGGTTTCTTAAAATGCTTTGTGCTGTAGTTTGAAGCCGATTCCTTTTTCAGTACAACACCTATCCATATTCAGTAATAAGAACTAAAGATAATCTGTTGTTCTTCTTGGTTGGGCATTGTATGGTCCAAATGTGTTGCTTTTTGCTCTGGTGAAAGACCTCTGGCTCTCCCTAGAGAGCTACACTATTGACTTGGTTATCAAGTCTCCTAAGTCCATATAAGCTCAAGATTGTTGATACATTTTAAGGCTTTACCATCGTACTCAATTGTAACGTAAAAGAATCTCCAGAAGCAAAAGCCGCCTTTGAGTGGAACATAAAAATGATGATCACTTGCAGAAAATATAACAGCCTATAGAAAGTTTTTACAGCATATCATCCTCTTAAATGGGCTTTTATGTATTACTGCTCCATTTCATGCATCCTCCTTTGGTGGATTGTACTGTGTGCCATGTTACCCATAACTAAATTGAATTGGTGGATTGTAGTGTGTTAAAACAGACACATCCTTCAGTAGTACTCAGCTGAAATCTGTTTTAATGGAGTTGTTTAGAGATCTTTAAGGTGATTATGACTGGACATCTTAGCTCAAAGGGTGCAGAATTTGAACGTCTGAACAAGCTTATTTTCTATGAATTCTTAGATTTTGTTTAATTCAATGTGTCATTTTTGGTTTTGATGTTTGCTTCATGCGTGTTTAAATGCAGCTCCCAAAATTTGAAAGTTTGTCCTCCAACCAATATGCTGTTGCAGTCCATCTTATTCCAAACCAGAGCCAAGCTGGTGAATTACAACCGAATCGACAAAGTGCACGAACTTGTGGAACTGGCTCAGATAGCTCTTCTGATGTTGAAATTGTGAAGTGGAATGAAGTATTTTTCTTCAAAATTGTTTCAACGGTCGGTATATAGAAATCATATTACAGGCTCATAAATTTTTAAATATGAATCTTTTAGCTTATGAATCGTGTTCCTATCTTCATAATTATTATTATTATTTTTTTAAACTCATAATGTTTTTATTATATTGATAAAGAAGGATGCACAAAACACTATATTATACAGTTCTATTTAAGAAACAGCACTTCTGCTGCAAAACTGTTAATTCATTCACAAGGAATAAGTTCCAGTCAATTCTGAATTCCCAGTTTGCTTTAATGCCGGGTCTCTGTTGCTTAAGATATGCTGATTATAGTTTTGCTAGGCAAAAAGCTGTATAGGGGTGTTCTGTTTTGCTTTTGGATTCTGCTATCATCTTTTTTTCAGCTGAAGAAGTTGATTCTGAGAAGCTGCCTTTAAGGTGTTTATCAAAACATTTGCTGCCTTGTCGTTTAAAAACAAAAAATCATTTCAATTTCATAAACAGCTTTTTCAGCAATCACTGTTCCATAGTTGGCTTTTAGACAACTGAAAAATACAAGAACAGGTTCCTTAATAATCTTTACATTTCTCTGTCTAGCCACAACTTCAGCCTTAGTCACTCCTCCATTTCAAATAGCTTCTTAATATTTGTCCCTCCAGAGAAAATGGCAACAGCAGCGGATGAATTATTCCTAACCAGGTCCACAAAGGAGTTCTTGTGCAAAATTATGCCTTAATTACCCAGAGTCATTCTGTCATCCATACACACCTTTACATTGCTTTCTGATAAACTTGAAATTCTTATATTCCTATTCATAGCAGCAATTTTTGTTTCTGTAATTTTCTCTGAAATTACTTTAGGCAAAATTAAATAATAATAATAAAAAAATTCTTTAGGCACGGAATTTTGTGTAATAGATTCATGGAGTCCATACTTCTAATGGAACAGGCTTGTAGTCATGTACAAAAGCTTTTTTCTTTGTGATGCTTTGAGATTTGAGAATGTGGTAGCTGAAATAAGCCTTACCTTAAGATGATGACAAACAAGAGAATATATGAGTTTCACTTGCATGGGACAAACATGAAGAACCTTCCATTATAAAGCTGTAACACTTGCATGGGACAGAGTCCCATTTTGCTCTCATGGGCATTCACGTTCCATCTCAAAAGAGTGTGCACTTTTGCTTCACGTATTTCTTAGGTAAGCAAAAATGCTCAGGGAAGAGTAAATACAAAAGGAGGTTGAGGCCATAATAGTTCTTTGTATTAGCTTTTTGGATAAGGGTGTTTTTGCAGGAGGTTTCACGTAGGTTTTGGGGTATTATGTTGTTTTTTTATAATAAGTACGTTATGTATTAGGTTTTTGGATAAGTGTCTCGAATTGGGGTTGGTAGTTAATAGAACTCAACAGTTTTTTGTAATAGCTTCAAGTTGATAGCGAGTCTATCAATGATTATATCATGCGAAATACTATTCATTTTTGTGAAATTCGATTCTGAATCTCTCTCTCTCGTGTTAATTTTGGAACTTCTCATGTTTCTGATGATTGATGAAATAGAGGAACCTCATCAAATTAAATTTGTCCTAATTTTCAATATTCATGTACTTGTTTGACTTGCGATAGTATTAGACTTTCAGACGTGCTTGCAATCTGACATATACTGCTTTTTCAGATATATTGTCATGGCTTTCTCTCTTTTTGTATTAGGCTTTCAGACGTGCTTGCAGTTTGGCATATACAAACTGTTTTTTCAGATATATCGTCATGATTTTCTCTCTTTTGTATCTTCAACATATTTATCCTGTGGCCTTCCAGATGCTTTTCTTTTCAGATGCAAGTTTTGCAAAATCTTCTTGTTAATCTTTTGTGGCTGCCTGACAATCCTTGCTGTTGATCTATTAACCAGGATTGCTACATGGTTGAAATGATAGTGACTGAGACGGGGAAAGGTATCTTTTCTTTTTTCTTTTTGGGTGATGTTTAATGTATATTTTCCTTTAGTCTTTTTGTTGCTTTCCTTGTGAATCTTTGCTGGTTTGGCAACTTATGGATCCAAACTGTATGCATGTCTGGTGTGTACAATGTGCCTCCCCCTATACATTACTACAATTACGTAGATAAATATACAAATATAAGAGGTGGCAGATTGCCTAAGCTTTGGTAGTCCTATTTCGTGGCCAATAACCAGATATATATGCAGACATGTACACCTAGATGTACAAAAATTTATGAGGTGGCAATTGCCTAACCTCGCGTTAGTCTTATTATGTGGAAAATGAACTGAACTTACATAGATTCATTTTTGTTGGTGGATTCATTTTTTTAATATTTTATCCATTGTACAAAGTTATCCTAAGAGTGTCATCAAAATAATTAGGGTAAAATACACTAAGCCTCCCTATGTATTGGGTTGTGGTCATAAAGCCTCCTCATTGTTTAAGAACTCCCAAAGAACCCCCTTGTAGTTTGGACTAATTTGAAAAAAGAGACAGAAATCATCCAATTTGATGGAAGTGAATTATACCAGCTTGACAAGCGACTGTGATAACAATATATCAAAGATAATTTGGCAATTTTACATTTCATTTTCTTTTCTTTTATCCCTCAGTCTTCTTTTTTGTCTTTTTTCTTCTCCTCCTCTTTTTTTTTTCAATCTTTCTCCCCTTCCATCTGGAGCAGCAAAGCAGAAGCAAAGTCACCACTGGCCTTTGTTAATCTTACTTTTCTTTTTTTTTTTGTTCTTTATTTTTTTCCTTTCTCTTCCACCTACTGGTGCAGCAAACCAGAAGTAGAGATGGAGGTGTGCCACCGTTAGTTGCCGCCACCGCCTCTACCACTGCCGCTGGTTGCTACAATTTATTGTTGAAACTTCACCAAATTTTTATCCCAAACTCTATTTATTACATATATCTCATTCTGGTATCCGATTTGGCTGAAAGTGGCCAAAAAGTAGTAGAACAAGATTAAAATAAAAATGGGTTTAATCTATTTGTTTCATGAAATCACCACCAGATCTTATGATATTGGTACTAGGATGATCCTTAGGAGCCATGTAAGGATTATTTGTCACCAATTTCACATGAAAAGGCATGAAATTATATGAATTTAGATGAAATCTGAGACCCGGTGGTGCTGAAGATGACGACGAAGGTGGTGACCACAGCAGCCACAGTGACGGTGATGATGGTGACGAACAGAAGTGGCAAGGTGATGTAGGCTAGCTGAAGAAAGGAAGAAAAGGAAAAGAAAATGGAAGGGAAAGGAAAACAGAAAAAAAAAAGGAAAAAAAACAAAGACAAAGGCAATGGATTCTGAACATCATCGTCATTGGAGAAGACAACAAATTTTTAGAATTTTTTAAATGAACCTCTGAATTTTACTTTCTTCTTAAACGAACTAAGAAAGTTTTTAAAATCTTAATTAAACCCTGAATTGACTTTTAGTATAGTTTGAAAATAGGGTTAATATAGGAATTTTAAAAGTTTTTCAAATCTTAATTAAACCCTGAATTGCCCCCCGTGGGTAGCTCGGCTGGTACTGGTCATCTGTAGTTACAGCAAGGTCCCAGGTTCGACCCTCACGTGCTACTGTTGTTGGGTATCTTTGGGGCAAAGCTTTGCCCAACCTGGGGGGATTAGCCTCTAGACCTGAAAAAAAAAAAATTAAACCCTGAATTGACTTTTAGTATAGTTTGAAAATACGGTTAATATAGGAATTTTATATTTTTCCGTCAAATTGGACTATTTCCATTCATTGCCTGAATTAGTCCAAACCACAATGGAGTTCTTTGCAAGTTTCTAAAGAATGAGGAGGCTTTATGACTATAACCAAAACTACAAGGGGGCTTAGTGTATTTTACCCAAATAAATATGAATGCTCTCAGGCCTCTAGGAGGAAGGTCTATGAGAAATTGGTTCTGACAGGGAGAGAGTAATTATAGATGATATACAATTGAAGGTCGAAGGGATTTTACCTTTTTCTCCATAAATTCTGCATTTCCAAAATGTTTTGTTGATAATGGTTTCCTGGCTAACATTAAGGATGGTACCAAGGTGACTGGTTGAATTATTATTTGTCACCTTGTCATTTTGACTAGAAGCGTTCTGCTCAAAACAAAATATACCTCGTCATCTAATTGGCAAATGGTGAAACTTATTCTGGTGTGCTTTGTCAGTATGGAAAACTTACTGGATGGATGACAAGTAGCTAGTGCTCACTTGATTTCACAAACCATAGCCTAAGTGAAATTTCATCAAATGGTAGCTTAAAATATGCATTCATTTAGTAATGCAAGAAATAATGTCATTTTGTCTAAACCTAGAAAGAGAATTTCTTTCCAAATTTGAGATGATACTTTTATTTTCATTGCTATGGGACTGGCTATTCCTAATGGAAATCTTTGTTTAATCCCCTTTTTTCTTGTAAATGCTTGCTTTTGTTAGTGACTTGTTACTTTATATGTGTCTTGATGGTCTTTCATGTTTTTGTTTGGATTTTTTTTATCTCCCCTTTTCTCATATAAATACCCTCATCAATGGCTTGATACTTCTTCTTGTAAAGTTTGATGATAACTTGTTCTCTAACAGTCAGGATTATCAGCTAGTTCTAATTTATTATGGTCCAACATATGTTTCTGCTTCATTCTCTAACATATGCATTATATTAAGACTGTCATTACACCAACACTGGCATTGGTATAGCGCCCAAGGCTATTCTATTATAGGTGATGTCTCGTGGGACCCTCCCGACAGCGTAGAATGATCCAAAAAGAAAGGATCGGTTTTTTCTTTCAACATCTAAATTTGACTTCCTCTTGCCTCACTGCAAAGTTCATTCCAAGAGCTCCCAATAGGCCAAGTAGCCGCTTTAACACCTTACACTTGCTTTCTAGTTAACACATGTGCTTTTACTTTGCAGGTGATGAAGTTGGTTATTTTTCATCTCCATTGGAGCAAATAGCCACATCTCAAGCCAACTACCACTTCAATAGCTTGGCTGAGCTGACTTGGCTACAGTTGTCCTCAGCAGCACCTAAGGTGTGATTAATTCTAGTTGAGCAGAAGTTTGATGACTTGGTCAATGTTTTTATATTCATATATTTGATTTCTGGCTTACATGTCTTCCCAGGTTGGTGAGACATTGAAGAAAACATTTGGAAGGATAAGATGCTCTGTGCTCTTATCACCTAAATCAGAAGTTAAATATGGAGAAAAATCATTAACTGGAGATAGAAGATCCGGGTTTATTGAGATTAGTCCAACTAGAGGAGGACCGTGGACTATAGTTAGGTTAAACTATGCAGCACCTGCTGCTTGTTGGCAGTTTGGCAATAGCCTCGTTGCCAGTGAAGTTAGTGTTAATGATAGCAACAGATATGTTATCATCAGATCCATGGTTTCAGTTCGTAATGATACTGATATTGTACTAGATTTGTGCCTGAAGCTTTCGGCTTCAAGTCAGAAGAATATGCCTGGAGAGGATGAAAAAATGGTGGTTACTAGAGAAAGAAACCAATTTGTGACAGATGAGTTTTTTGAAAATGAACAATATAACCCAGCTGTTGGTTGGGTTGAAAATCTGGATTCCCTTGAGGTAAATATCTTATTTGAGTTCTAATTTTTCTCTTTAACAATTGTTTTTCAAGTACTATTTGATTTGATTTACAAAGTGCATTGTTAAAATTTCATTAAGCAATTAGCTCGCTGTCTCTTTGGCCTCCAAGGGTATGAACTTAAACTAGAGTCTAAAAGTAATTTGCCTCAGCAAAAAATCTCTGGCTCCTGCAGGGTGGGATGGAAATATACCTTTTTCTTGTAGTCTTTATCTCAAATCCATTTTTATTTATTTTCTTTTTTTTGGGGGGGGGGGAGGGGGTGGGTAATATTGATTTCAGATCAAGAACCAAAAGATCATAATGATTATGCTTAAACAAACTGTTTCACATCAGATTCATTTCTCCTAGAGTCGGCAATATAGGAAACCTCACCTTCCAAATGAAACCCAAAGAGTTTATAGAGCATAAAGGTTAATTATAGTAAGAATATGCTGCTGAAGCAGCAGGAATAATTTCCACTATCCATTTGAGACATTTAAAATGATGTTTTCACTGGTCAAATCATACAGCCATCAGATTTTCAGTATACTATAGTGTTTATTTGGGTGAACTTGCAATTTGCTTTATAAATTCTCTGCTTTTGTAGTTTGGATTTTTTTTTCTCAATGAGATAGTCAGAGCATAAGCTTGATAATCAAGTCCTGAATTTCATTGTGCTGCTGATAATTCGTAAACATATTAGAGTCGTAACTTTCTATCTTTTTCTTTTGTATTGTCAAACTAGAATGATTTTTTGTTGGACTCTAAATTGAAGTCCTGGGGTGAATATTAACATCCAAAGTTATACAGGGAGCACTGGGAGACGAGTTGCCATCAGGCTGGGAATGGATTGATGAATGGCATGTTGATAAAAGTTCTGTCCAAACAGCTGATGGATGGGTTTATGCTCCAAATTTTCAGCATCTGAAGTGGCCCGAGTCATACAATCCACTTAAGTCTGTCAATTATGCTAGGCAAAGGAGATGGATTAGGCATAGAAAGTGCATATCAGGGGATTTTATGTCACAAATATCTGTTGGTATCATTAGACCTGGTGAAGTTGTTTCAGTTCCCCTTTCTGGCCTGACACAGTCTGCATCCTATATACTGCAATTGAGGCCTTTGGATATCGAAAACTCAAGAGATTATGCTTGGAGTTCTGTAATGGATAGGCCTAGTCAATTAAAGGATGTTGGTACGCCAAAAGAAAATTCTGAAATTTGTGTCTCAACTCTCAAAGAGACAGAGAAACTCTTGCATTGCCCTGAGATTAGTGGAACCTCGTTTAATGGTTCACACAGTATCTGGTTTTGTTTGAAGATACTAGGAACAGAGATTGCAAAGGACAAGAACTCTTATCCTATAAAAGACTGGAGCATTGTGGTCAAGTCACCTGTATCTATCACCAACTATCTGCCTCTTTCAGCTGAATTTTCTGTTCTGGAGATGCAAAGCAGTGGTCATTGTCTTAACTGTTATAGAGGAGTATTTAAACCTGGAGAGACTGTAAAGATATATAATGTTGACATAAGAAATCCTTTGTACTTATCATTGCTTCCACAAAAAGGATGGCTACCCATGCAAGTTGGTTGCTTCTGCCCCCTTATTTTTATTACTAATTTTCTGCCCAGTGCATAATTAATGTCTCACTGACAAGGTATATGTTTTCTCTGACTAATCACTGTGTCTTTGCAGGAGGCTGTCCTAATATCTCATCCTAGCAGGGAACCTTCAAAAACTATTAGCTTAAGAAGTTCACTTTCTGGAAGGTTTGAGTTTGTGCTCAGCCATCGTTGTGCAATGATTAACCCTTCCTTTTCTTTATCTGCAAGAAATTTCAATTGCTTATTCTTGATTCTTGATCTCTCATGTGATTTTGGTGCAGGACTGTTCAACTCATTCTTGAACAAAATGACACCGAAGAAGGGCTTGTGCAGTCTAAGGTCATTAAAGTTTATTCGCCTTGTTGGCTTGCCATTGCCGGATGCCCTCCACTAACATTTAGGCTGGTAAACTTTGGGGGCAAAAGTCCATCAAGAAAGATACCTTTTCCTTTTAAGTCAAAAAAGAGCAGTGAAGTGATCCTTGAGGAAATCACTGACGAGGAACTATGTGAAGGTCATACAATTGCTTCTGCATTGAATTTCAAATTGTTGGGACTCTCGGCATCAGCAAGTCAATCTGGAGAAGAGCATTTCGGGCCGGTCAAGGACCTTTCTCCCCTCAATGACATGGTAGATTATATTGATTGTGGTTACTTTTTTGCCTTTAAGCTGACGACCGTTTCACCTTTTTCCTTCTTCATTTGTAGGATGGATCTGTGGACCTGTGTGCTTACAATAGCGACGGCAATTGTATGCGGCTGTTTATATCTTCAAAACCTTGCACCTTCCTGTCTATCCCAACAAAGGTTACTCAAAACTTCCACACATCTGATCTAAGCATTGTTGTTTTCTGGAATTTACCATTTCTTTTGGCAGGTCATCTTCATTCGTCCCTATATAACATTCACAAACAGACTTGGTCAAAACATATTCATCAAGTTAAGCAGTGAAGATGAACCAAAGATTTTGCATGCAACGGATGAAAGAGTATCATTTGTATATCGTGAAGCTGGTCGACCAATGGAACTTCAGGTAGGTGAATATCTTTTAGATTGGATCTGACATGTTCAATGATATCTTGATTCATGATTTTCCTCCATCACTTGCAAGAAATTCTGGTTGCTTGTTTGCTTGTTGAGATCTAATCAAGAAATTAGTACAGCATTTGCTTTCATCAATATATACTAAGAAGTAAAGAATAAAAATTGTGTATTCTCCATCGATATGCATGCACTTCCACTCCCGGAGAGAGAGAGAGAGAGAGAGAGAGAGAGAGAGAGAGAGAGAGAGATTTTATATTGATTTCAACTGCTTTTATTATCAAATGAAAGGTTCTTACTGTAAGATTTTCGGGGAACATTTATTAGTTCGCTTAGATCTGATATTTTATTACATGCTGAAGATCTACAAACTCTTAAAGTAATTTATCTTCTCAAAAGCTGTATCAGCTTGCTCGTACTTGCATTTACTTGGTGTTATATGCCGATCCTTAATAATCTGCACTCTGTAGAATACTATGGTAATCAGTTTGCTCATACTGGGATTTATTTGGCTTGTTATATGCCTATCTTTGATAATCTGCACTTATGCAAAGCATATGGTAATATAGCTAAGTGTTTGCAAGCTTATGTATTTACTTGCATATTGTTTATTTAAACAAGGGAAATTTGCCAAATTGGTCCCTAACATTTGCCAAAAAAACTTTTTTAATCCCTAACATTTAAAATTAGCCAGACTTGTCCCTAACATTTAAATTATGATCCATTTTGGTCCTAATGCTCGTATTTGCTCATTTCTCCGACTGAAAATAGCACGCCTCTCTCACGTGGGCATATTTTCAAGGGCAAGATCGAAAAACTCACTTCATTTCCGGTTGAGTAAAGCCATTTTTCCTTCATATTTCCCCATTGAAAATGTGAAGAAGAAGCTGACATATTAAACACATAGGTAAAAAATAAAAAATAAAAAATAAAATTTATTACATAACTCTTAGTTCGGGGCAGGAGAGGGGAAAGAGGGCGGCGCTGTTGCTGCAGCTGGTAATATGAGTCAGGCTCAATTAAAGCCCTAGGAGGCAGAGGCAAGTCTAGCCAAGGCTCCAAAGCTTGTATTTTTTATGACAGTGGCAGTATTGGTGGTTAGATAGAGCCTTATGAGGTGATAAGGGGGGCAGCCAGGTTGATTGAGAAGATGGGGCCAAATGAAGTTGGACAATTGGTTAAAGAAGCAAGGGCTGGGTCAATTGCATGCTAGTGGGGGCGGAATGAGAATTGCGACTGGAGAGGGAGAGGGGAGGGAGGAAGATGAGGATGGAGGTGTGGGAAGTGATGCGGCAGGGCTAGAGGTGGTGGGAGGTGAGGGGGGTAGCAGCTGCCGATGCTGGTGGTTATTTTATGCTGGCAATGGAGAAAGCTTTGAACTTTGACTCTACTACTGACCTGGCAAGTGTGACATATTTGGCCAACAAGTACTTGGATCAAAATGTCAGTTTCTTCTTCACATTTTCTTGCAATTTTTCCTCCATTACACAGCCATCCAGTTGCAGCTGGGTTTTTCCTCTTCAATTTCGTTCTTTTAGTGAGGCAATTAGGACACAAATGGGGAAATATGAAGATAAGATGGCTTTACTCAACTAGAAATGAAGTGTGTTTTCCGGTTTTGCCGTTGAAAATATACCCACGTGAGAGAGGCGTGCTATTTTCAGTCGGAGAAATGAGCAAATACGAGCATTGGGACCAAAATGGGTCATAATTTAAATGTTAGGGACAATTCTGGCTGATTTTAAATGTTAGGGACTAAAAAAGTTTTTTGACAAATGTTAGGGACCAATTTGACAAATTTCCCTTTAAACAAATAGGAAAATCAAGCAGTATATGAGTGTGCAAGGCTTGATTATGCATGTGGTACTTACTGCATATTCATGTACTCAATTATGTCTAGAATTTCACGAGGAAGTGAGATGAGGCACGAAAAACATTAACAAATTAGATTGTGGATAATTTTCTATATATGGATAAAGTACTAATTAAGGCACACTGCCTTTGATTTTTCCTTAGTTGCAATGGTAGTCATTTTCTTGTCGATATTAAATCTCTCTTCATTTCATCTCTTTTGCCATATCTTTTGCTTCACAGCTGACATATTATATATATCGCATGTCTGTTGGATAGGTAAGATTAGATGATACAAACTGGTCGTTTCCTTTTCAAGTAGCAGAGGAGGACACCATCTCTCTGGTGATGAGGAAAGGTGACGGTACATGTAGATTTCTGAGAACTGAAATCCGTGGTTATGAGGAGGGATCTCGTTTTATTGTTGTATTTCGCTGTGGGTCACTGAATGGTCCTATAAGGTACCTATTTAGTTGTGAAAATTTTGTAATTTTAACGAAATCTGCTAGTTGATTACCTCAAGCAGCTTCATTCTGTTTTATTTTAAATTCATACTTTTTATTTGTCTCAGATTAGTTCTGATGCTTTTTCATTTTCAGGGTCGAGAATAGAACAAGGAGGAAGATGATGAGAATCCATCAATCTGGATTTGGTGATGATGCATGGATTCAGTTATGCCCTCTTTCAACCTCTAATTTCTCTTGGGAGAATCCATATGGTGAAAAGTTTATTGATGCGGAGATTCAGGAGGGAAATAGTACTACAGTTCGCAAATTTAACTTAGAAAAGTCAGGTTTAAACACTGAAGGTGACGGATTAGGCCTGCTTTTCCATGTTTTAGATCTGGGAGATCTTAAAGTTGCTAGGTTTTTAGATGAGATGACTTTATCACTCTCAAGGGAGGGGAGCAGGTCTGCAATTCATGTGGAGAGTCTTGGAAATTCTCACATAGAGAGCAATATGCAGGACCATGCATCTCCTTTAGAACTTATAGTTGAGATGCAAGCTGTTGGAGTTTCTGTTGTTGATCATACACCAAAAGAACTCTCCTACTTGTACTTGGAGCGAGTTTTCATATCTTATTCAACTGGTTATGATGGTGGGACCACAAGCAGGTTCAGATATTTTCATACTTTTGTTTGTTTATATAAACTTTACTTGTTTTTTGTCAAATTGTTGCTTTGAAGGAAATTTAAGATTTCTAACTAAATCCATGCTCAGGTTGATATGCTGCTTTGCTGAACAGCCGCATATATACTATGCCACTATGATTATTCGTTAAATTGTTAATAGTGGACTGTGTATCATGTGTAATGGCTGCTTAGTTGCTACTTCCCTACTCATGTATGTGTTGGTTTATCAGCGAGAGTTCTTTCTTTCTAGTACTAGGCAATTATACTTCATTAATTTTGGGAAAATCATCCAAAACGTCCCTCACATTTTGCCAAATAAATTTTTTTCGCCCTTCACTTTTAAAATGGTAACTTTATGTCCCTTGTAAAATCGAGTCAGTAAAATATAGTCCCAACCTAGGTCTTCGGCCACCTTTTACCCTAAATCCATCACGTGGCCTATACACGGTCATTTTTGTAGAGGCAAAAAGGTTAGATCCCATTTGTAGTTAAATAAATGACCGGATTTATATTTATTTTTGTCCCTAAAAGAGTAGTATACTGAATAATAATCATTTTTCCCTGAAAAGTGAGATTTGACTAAATCCATATTCATTTTCGCAACTAAAAAGTGAGATCTGACCTTTTTGTACATGGAAAATGATTGCATGTGGGTCACATGATGATTTTAGGCTAAAATGTAATCGGAAACTTAGGTTAGAACCAAATTTTGTAAGGGACACAAAGTTAATATTTTAAAAGTGAAGGACGTAAAAATTCATTTGATTAAATGTGAGGGACGTTTTAAACGATTTTCCATTAATTTTCATTCCCCATTTTAAGCTATAAGACTTTCAAGTATCTAATTGAAATGGTTAAGATTGGCAATCTGCCTAAATCCTAATGTTTAAACCTAAGTAGTAAATTGTAATTCAATAAAATCTGACGGGAAAAACTGAGAGTGACCTTTAATTTAGATAGTTTGCTTATATCTTTTTGGAATTTAGAGCAATATATTTACATATTTCTGTGTGATAGAATTTTTAGACACTTTTCTGTACATGACTGCAATTATATCACTAATTGCAAATTTGAAACTCAAAAGAAAAAATTCTATTTAGTAAGGGAATGGCCTTGATTTGTGCATATATAAATTGAAAATCCCTTTTCCTCTACCCGCCTTTTTTTTTTAACTAACCATCCCATTCAGATATCAATGTGTCTTGTGATCAGGTGTATAACTTTCTTTGATATTAATATCCTTTGATGAGTAAAATTCTGTTAACAAATTAAGCTGAACTTCTTCCTCATCTGTGCCAGGTTCAAACTCATATTGGGTTATTTGCAGCTCGACAATCAGCTCCCGCTGACATTGATGCCTGTACTGCTTGCACCTGAGCAAACCAGTGATGCAAGCCATCCAGTGTTCAAAATGACTGTGACTGTCAGCAATAAAAGTCAGAACGGAATTCAGATCTATCCATATGTCTATATACGGGTAATATATCCTTATCAACCAGGAAACTCTTCAACCACATAAATTTGCTTCTGTAAGAGGCTACACAATCCAGGAGCTAACTAAACCTTTTGCTTATGTGATAGGTAACTGACAAGTGTTGGAGGCTTAACATTCATGAACCTATTATTTGGGCATATATAGGTTTCTACAGTAGTCTGCAACTGGATCGTGTTAATCAGAGTTCCAGTGTTACCCAAGTAGATCCTGAAATACGTATAGAGTAAGTATCTTACTTTCTATGATCCTTCTTGTTCCTTCATGAGACCTCACAGCTCTTTTGCTCTCATGGAATTTAACGTCATATGTAACAATTATTCTCCAATTTAAGAGATAAAGAAACCAAGGATAAGCTTTTCGTATCGAATAGTTGGTGTATGTGTGATTTGTATATATGATGGCTAGTGTCCCTTTGCCATGCACAGTGTATCTCCTGGTTTCCTGTGAAGAGGTGCTTTTATGTCTTATATTTGTTGCTTTTAGTGGAATAATAACAAGTACCTCTTTGGTTCATCATATTTGGTAAACATTCTTTAATTAAAAAAAAGCTCAATTTAATTAGTTAGGAAGTTATTAAGGGTCAAAAGTATTATACCTTCCCTGATGAATGTAAAGAAAGCACTAGCGCAAGAGCAGCGAAAAAATAGAGACCTCTTCTCTGCAGCTTTGGGATAAGTTTAATCGTGCTCTTCATATAGCTAGGAATAAGTTTAATCGTGTTCTTCATATAGCTTTTGGTGAGACCGGAAACTTTTATGCTAGCAGTTATTGACAAACATCTGTCCTTAATCTTAAGGACTTGTGATTCCTCAATTGAAAGATCTTACATTTTTTATAAGTAAAAGGCAGATGAATGAAGGATTAACCATTTTTCTTTTCCTCCTTCAACTTCAAATAGTACTTTTGCAGGGTTAATCTGCCCAAAGTCCACTAAGTGGTATAGCGGCATTAAAGAAAAGACACTAAAAGATTCTTTGGGCTTTCTGCCTTTCTCTTCTTTTCTTTCCTAGGCAGAAGGGGAAAAATGTGGCTTAAGTAACTTTGCTCTTTCTTGTAAACTCTGCTTTTTGGAGGTTTCCAAATTAGGTAATGGTTGGTCATAGATGAACTTTATGGCTTCCAAAGAACTTTTGGATGCGGTGGTAAGCCACTGTTGTATTAGATTAGGCATAAGTCTTAGGTTCAATCCTCCCTGCCCACTGTTTGTTGCACCAAGTGAGAAGAAGTTGAGCCAAACTTGATTGGTGTTTGACAACTTAAATGAATGTTCACTCTCATTTCTTACAGATTAAGCATTTTGATGTTGTTAGGACATGACAACATTCTTTTTTTGCATTCTCTTGATCAGTTCATACCTTGTTTCTCAATTGCAGCACCATGTTTTTGTGTCAAGAAAGTTTTTAGTAAATGATATTGATGCAATGTGCCAACGTCCTTTGACATTTTTGCAGCCTTATTGACATTTCAGAAGTAAGACTGAAGGTGTCTTTGGAAACTAGTCCTGCCGAAAGACCACCAGGAGTTCTTGGTGTGTGGAGTCCCATACTTACAGCTGTTGGAAATGCATTCAAAATTCAGGTCAGATGTTTCATTTTCAACTGGTATGTGATTTTTTTTTCTTTTTTTGGTGAGCATGATATGTGAATTTATTTTCCTAGAAATATATGAGCTACTCCTTCCATTCGGAAGTCTTCTGTGTGTGTACCTTTCACCTATCGATTCCCTTCTTCTTCTCCTTTCTTTTCATGTGACTTTTGGTGGACTTACGAATTGGTATACATAAAGTGAGAGAGTGTATGACACTCAATGCAGTTGATTTCCTATACCTCATTCACTGGACAATATACACTGATGCAGCTATCGAACAGTTCTGTTCATATGTGTATATGTTTGTATAGATTACTTGTATGTTCCTTGAGATGTTAATGAGTTGAACAGCATTCATAATGTCAACCTCAAGCTGGTATTTATCAATTGCTTCCAGAACCATTAGGTGATGAGTTAGTAAATTTGATATTTTTTGGATCTTTTTTTTTTTGTTTTTTGGGTGGGAAAGAAATGCTGCAACATAAAACTCTTCATACTCTTCATCTGTTTCACCACCGAATCATATCTGATGCATATGTGTATTGTATATCATCTCATGCATGTTCATCTGTAGTTATATGGGGTATTCTAAAATATTCCGTTTTCATAGTCAATAATCTTCTGTCTCTTTCTGGCCAACCAACTTTACAATCTTGGTTGCTTACCAATTTCCTAAGTTATTCTGTTTGTCACAGTGATGAGGTCCCTGGTTCATTCTTGTGCATTTTATGGTGGGCAATTATGTTCACCGTCATTTTTTTTATTCTTGTATCATCTTGTTATCATTTCCATCTTTTTTATCTTTTGTCTCAATTTTTTTTTTCCTCGTGTGTTCATTACTTGTCTCTTTTCCCTCTTCCTCCCTGAAATGCTAATCCTATGCAGCCACTGCCCAAGGAAGGGACAGAGAATAAATAAGAAGTAAAAACAATTAAGGAATGATCTGACAAAAATTTGCCACACAGAATGTGTATAACTTAAATTAGAATGCATCAGAAGATCAAACATTCTATAGCGACCATAATGAGACTAAATATTACTCAGTGACCAAAATGACAAACTTGTTAATGTTAGTGGCTGCACTTTGCCCTGTTTTTCTATTTGTATAGACAAACATAATAACGTTTGACATAGATGTATATAATGTGCAAAATTCCCCTTACAAACTCATGAAGCGATTATATGAAACCTTAAAACTGCTTTCCTTTACCAATGACTTGTTGAACTCCCCTTGGATTGGCAGATTGATGAAATTTGCTATTAGAACTGAATAAAGGGATATGGCTGACAATTTTAAACATTTTTTACTTCATACTTCTATTTCAGATCCATCTGAGAAAATTGATACGCAGAGGCAGATTCATGAGAAAAAGTTCTGTCGTATCTGCCATTACAAATCGTTTGTGGAGAGATTTGATTCATAATCCATTGCATTTGATTTTTTCGGTGGATGTCCTCGGCATGACAAGTTCAACTTTAGCTTCTCTTAGCAAAGGTTTTGCGGAGCTCTCTACAGATGGACAGTTTCTGCAACTACGTTCAAAGCAGGTAGTCAATTTAATTGTTTTTTGTTATTAGTGGCTTGACTGCGTGCAATTCTGAACTAAGAAACAATTTAAATTTAATCAGGTTTGGTCAAGAAGGATAGGTGGTGTTGGTGATGGAATCATTCAGGGAACAGAAGCTCTTGCACAAGGAGTTGCTTTTGGAGTTTCAGGGGTTTTAAGAAAGCCTGTGGAAAGTGCTAGAGAAAATGGTCTTCTTGGCCTTGCTCATGGGCTGGGTCAAGCTTTCTTAGGATTCATTGTACAGCCAGTCAGTGGAGCATTAGACTTTGTCTCGTTGACTGTTGATGGAATAGGTGCAAGCTGTTCCAGGTGCTTGGATATTCTCCAAAACAAGACCTCTTTCCAGAGAATAAGGAACCCCCGGGCTATTCATTCTGACAATGTACTTAGAGAGTACTGCAGGAGAGAAGCTGTTGGTCAGGTAGCTATAACTGTTGTGATTTTAGATGTCAATTTGTTTATCTGGTTATTGTTTCAAGTTCATCTCCCTTACATCTCATTGAGTAGTTTTTTGGATCTAAATATGTTCACAAAAATCACAACATGTAGAGGCGTTGGCCTTCTGTCAGTACCAAAGGCCTTGCAGAAGGGAAATAATAACTTTGGGACTGTTGGCCAACTTCTGAAGCATGGAGATATGTTTACCTCATCATTTTCCTGATGAAGAATCGAAATTAACTGCACTGTGTTTTGTGGTAGCAGTGCATTCAAGTATATAAACAATTACTTAAGCCTCTTCCAAGCTAATGATTATCTCCATAACTGATGCCACATATTCTTCTGGAGCTAAAAAAATAAGTTTGGACGTGTGGTGATTCTCACATGTATCAGTTTGTAGATCAAAAATGGAATTTTATTATTGATTCATTGAATCTTCATTGTAGATGGTACTTTTCCTTGCGGAGGCAAGTCGACATTTTGGATGTACTGAAATATTTAAAGAGCCATCAAAATTTGCTTGGTCGGATCAGTATGAGGCTCATTTTGTGGTGCCCTACCAACGGATTGTTCTAGTAACTAACAAACGTGTTATGCTGCTACAGGTTGATAAATGCCTCATTCATTCATTTTTCTCTCATACTTCCTTTTTTCCCCCCTTTGTCAATTACTACATTTCTTGTTGCCATCTTGTATTTGATACTCTCTGCTTTTTCTACATCTGAAGTGTGCCTCACCTGATAAGATGGACAAAAAACCTTGCAAGATCATGTGGGATGTGCCATGGGAAGACATATTGGCATTGGAGTTGGCAAAAGCTGGTTTCCCCATACCATCTCATTTAATTATCCATCTCAAGAATTTTAAGAGGTCAGAGAACTTTGTCAGAGTTATAAAGTGCAATACCGAAGAATCAAACGAAAGAGAGCCTCAGGCTGTAAGTATATGTTCCATGGTGCGCAAGTTTTGGAAGCGAACTGACTCAGAGCCGAGCAACCAAATGTCAAAGGTCATAAATCTTGCAGTCAATCAATTTTAACTAGGAAACAGTAATACCATATTTCATACGATATGCCTGTGCCATTTGCAGGTCCCGTCTATCCAGAGACATGTATGTTCTATCCGTAATGAAGCTGGTGGAAGTGATCCTCATATGCACTTGAAATCAGTGATCAAATCAACAGAGCTCTCTTTAGCTGGTTCTGCTTCGGATGATGGTAAACTTGTCACACACTGTATGAACTTTTTGAAGGTGTGGAGCAGTGAACAAGAATCAAAAGGTCGATGTACCTTGTGCCAAAAGAAGGTAAACTTGTCAATCTTAAGATAATGATGTCTACAGGTTGTGACTATCAAACTTATCTAAATGAAATGCCTTTCTCTCAGGAATCTGAAGAAGGTGGAATTTGTAGTATTTGGCGACCAGTCTGTCCCAATGGGTAATCATTGAACTTTTTCTCAGATTTTTTCTATTAAAAGGCTAGGACTTCTGGTAGCACATGAAACTAATTTGACTTGTTATGACGTCTTAGATGAGAGAATACATAAATGTTACATTGGAACTTGTGGATGTAAATTATAAACCAGCTGAAACTGGTGCGTGACTAATTATAAGATTTATACTAATCAATGCATCCATAGGATCTGGTGCGTGACTCGAGGGAAATGTAAGAATAATGAATTTGAGATGGAGCATCTTTCTGCTTATCCTCATAACGTCCTCTTTAAGTGAAGCCAAGCTAGGAGAATGTTAACATACTCTATAATGCAATGTTTTCAGAATCATTCCTGATATTTTATCTCTTCCTTTGGGAACTGAAGGGTCAGGCTGAGAGGTTAGATTAGTTGAGTTAGAAGTGTGGATGTAGGAGTGCTATCATCCTCTTCCCCAAGGCTCCACTTCTTTGTGCTTGACTGTTGGACTTCACCATTGAGTAGACAGTATACCTGTCATGATCAGCCTTCTAAAAGCTCTGTGGAATGCAACTTTTTGCTTCCCATCATTTTGCAACGTCACTTCACATAATTAGGATTCTTGTTGAGAATGCAGTAAAGTGAGGCAAAATGCAGGGAAGGCAGGTAGAAAGAATAGGTGGATTTGTGCTGTGGATATTCTTTGACTGTCTAATGCAGTATGCGCATCTTGTGAAGTTCTAGGTTGTAAAAGCATATTGAGTTTCATTTGGAAATTTAGCGGCTACAGATTATTTGTTTCTCCGTATTCATATCCAACAACTATGGCTGTTCTCGTTTGTAGTTCGTTATTGATTATATTTTATAATATTGTCCTAATCTCAAAGAGCAAAATAAGAAATTATATTTTCAAGCCAAACAGTAGTATAATCCTATGAATTCTGGAAACTAACTAGGACTGCTGCATGTTGTGTGCATAAATTGACCATGTTTGGAATAGTCTTTTACTTTATCTGGATCACATTCTTGGGGAGGTTAAAAATTTTGCAAGTTGCCTTTACTGGTAATGTTACTTTTGTCTTAATGCTTCTGTTAATCTCAAATGAAATTCCACTTGCCTCAGGTATATCTCAGTTGGGGATATAGCTCGTGCTGGCAGCCATCCTCCTAATGTTTCAGCTGTATATCACTATTCTGACAAACACTTCACTCTTCCAGTAGGATTTGACCTGGTAAGAACCTTCAGAAGACTTGAACAAACTTGGCCCAAATCTGTGGGCTAGTAGAAAACTAACTGAATTCTGAGAAATGGCATGCCCTATTCTTTTGAATGTACTTTTTGAAGTAAATAGGTCAATGTTGCAAGCAGCAATGAATTGCTAGTTGCATATTTTTATTTCTGTTAGCTGTTAATGAGCTCAATTTTCTTTTACTTCTCTTTTCATTAAATCTCAATCTTATATTTTTCCAACAATCCAGATTTATTTATCACATTGCAAGGGTATTAAAAGAAAAAAAAAGTGAAGGGTCATATGGTTTGTGGATTGGATACAGAAGGATGAGTCATCTTAGAGTTGTTGTCCTGGGATGACTCATCCAAAGATTCCTCATCTTGGGTAAAACAGTTGCCTTGCTCTGTGTTTAGATTCGGGTTTCCACAGTATGTCTGATGTCCGTTTACTTGTTTGCTTATTAAAAGGCATACTCTGAAATGTAATCTTCCTCAGTTGAAGTGCTAGTGTTTTCCCCTTCAAATTAGAACCTCCTCCCCCTAACACCAAACACAAAAGAGAGTCAAAAGGCTGTTGTCATCAGTGCGAATTCCAATTCTGGCTCGTTCAGTGGAGACAGAGCTGACCAGATCACTCAACTTCTCATACCTAGCTCAATCAAACACTGATGAGTCATCGCAGAATTGTTGTCCTGGCATGACTCATCCAAGGATTAGTCATCTTGTGTAAAACAGTTGCCTTAACCTCTATTTGGTTTCCTGTTTCCACGGTTTTTCTGATGTTCATTTGCTTATTAAAATGTATACTCTGAAATAGCCTTCTCTGGATAAAGTAAATGCTAGTACTTTCTCCTTCAGATTAGAACCTCCTCCCCTAACACAAACACAAAAGAGGCAATAAAAAAATTCATAGTATTCATCAGTGTGAATTCCAATTCTGGCTTGTTCAGTGGAGACATAGCTGACCAGACCAGATCACGCTGCTTCTCATACTGAGCTCAATGAAACGCTGATGTAGCCCTAGTTGAACGTGGAAGTTTTCTAGTATATTCTTATCCGTTTCAGACATTCAGCAACACGAATTGGATGTTTTCATTTCTTTCTGGGTATAGATTTCTCATCTTAAGAGCAATCAAGTAGTGGGAACATTTTAAGGAGCTCAGATTTACATTTATTAATCTAGTTATTGGCAAACCTTGTACTTGGAAGAAAATAATTTAATGCCCTTGACTTCCTATTTGACACATCAAGCTATGTGTACAAGTCATGGCATGCAAGTGTTCACAGGTTAAGCAATGAGCAGAACATTGATTTTTCTCAAGCATTCTCAGTTGGCAATCCTGTTCATGCTTGTGTTAAGGTTTCAAACTATGTATCCTTTTTTATTGCTTGTGCGAAATTGATAAGTAATTTTTGGATATTATGGTGCAGGTATGGAGGAATTGCCTGGAGGACTACATAACTCCTGTCTCGATTTGGCATCCTCGTGCTCCTGCAGGCTATGTCTCTCCTGGATGTGTTGCTGTGCCTAGGTTTGAGGAGCCAGACCCTAAAGCTGTATATTGTATTGCAGAATCCCTTGCTGAGGAAACAGTTTTAGAAGACCAAAAGATTTGGTCAGCACCTGATTCATATCCGTGGTCATGCCATATTTACCAAGTGCAGAGTGGAGCCCTTCATTTTGTTGCCTTGAGACAACCCAAAGAAGAATCTGACTGGAAGTCTATGAGGGTTGTTGATGACCTTTGACAATTGGCTCAACCATCAGAAGCTCGGTGACTTTCATTAGATCCTTCATCTTGGTGCGAAAACACCCTCGTTGAGAAACTAAGCCAAATCTCTGGGGCTGTCTTTGCATCATTTCGGAGCAACCTTCGGTTTCATGAATGTTTCACAGTTTTAGCTCAGTATCCAGTCAGTACATCATGACAAGGTATTCTACTTCAGCCCAAGCTGGTGAGCTTCAGTGCTATGACGTGCGAGATGAAGATGATGAGTTTATTCTTGTATGTTCCATAGATTTTCTCGCAGGAACCTGGACACAGATGATTAATGATTTGAGGGTCGGAGTTGGTTGAGTTGCACTTGAAACTTTGGTGCTTTTCATTCGAGTTCTTCTGCAAGTGTACATGCAAGAATTTTTTGTCTTGTCTTTGCCGTACTGAAGGGCTCAAGGCTCTGGTGTACTAACTTCAAAGGGAGTGTGTGTGTGTGTATATATGTGTGTGTATGTATATATATATATATAGATATATATATATTTGTTCGTTAATCCCCAGGTGTTGATCCTAAAGAATTAACGGGACATATAATTACTCAGCTAAACTTGTCCACGTAACCATGCATGCACCACTCCGTGCAACTAATTCGTGTGTGTGTGTGCGTGTTTTTTTTTTTTTTTTGGGTTGTGGATTTTTTGTTTTGGGGGTTTTGGGGGGGGGGGGGTGTTCTTTGGACATGATGGTTAATCTATAGGTATTGATTTCAAAGAGTTAATGAGAAATATAATTATCTAGTTTAAATTATCAATCCAATCATGTATATATTTTTCCTTTCAACTAATTTATGTGTATAGGGAGGTTATTACTCTTTCTTGTGGGAAAATAAAAACAAAAAGAATATAATACATATATTTGAGAACGTTGTTATTGTAAAAATAGGCTAAATTCTATAATCGATACTTTTTTTGGTGTATTTTGCTGTGCCTAGGTTTGAGGAGCCAGACCCTAAAGCTGTATATTGTATTGCAGAATCCCTTGCTGAGGAAACAGTTTTAGAAGACCAAAAGATTTGGTCAGCACATGATTCATATCCGTGGTCATGCCATATTTACCAAGTGCAGAGTGGAGCCCTTCATTTTGTTGCCTTGAGACAACCCAAAGAAGAATCTGAATGGAAGTCTATGAGGGTTGTTGATGACCTTCAACAATTGGCTCAACCATCAGAAGCTCGGTGACTTTCATTAGATCCTTCATCTTGGTGCGAAAACACCCTCGTTGAGAAACTAAGCCAAATCTCTGGGACTGTCTTTGCATCATTTCAGAGCAACCTTCGGTTTCATGAATGTTTCACAGTTTTGGCTCAGTATCCAGTCAGTACATCATGATAAGGTATTTTACTTCTGCCCAAGCTGGTTGTTTGCGGAGCTTCTGTGCTATGACGTGCGAGATGAAGATGATGAGTTTATTCTTGTACTTTCCATAGATTTTCTCGCGGGAACGTCGACACAGATGATTAATGATTTGAGGGTCGGAGTTGGTTGAGTTGCACTTGAAACTTTGGTGCTTTTCATTCGAGTTCTTCTGCAAGTGTACATGCAAGAATTTTTTGTCTTGTCTTTGCCGTACTGAAGGGCTTAAGGCTTTGGTGTACTAACTTCAAAGGGAGTGTGTGTGTGTGTGTGTGTGTGTGTGTGTGTGTGTGTGTGTGTGTGTATTTGTTCGTTAATCCATAGGTGTTGATCTTAAAGAATTAACGGGACATATAATTACTCAGCTTAACTTGTCCACGTAACCATGCATGCACCACTCCGTGCAACTAATTCGTTTTTTGTGTGAGAGTGTGTTTTTTTTTTTTTTTGAATTGGGGGGTGGTCTTTTGACATGTTGGTTAATCTTATAGGTATTGATTTCAAAGAGTTAATGAGAAATATAATAATCTAGTTTAAATTATCAATCCAATCATGTATATATTTTTCCTTTTCAACTAATTTATGTGTGTAGTAGGGAGGTTATTACTCTTTCTTGGGGGAAAATAAAAACAAAAAGAATATAATACATATATTTGAGAACAAGGCGGATTTAAAGTGGGGGCACGGGGGCCACGGGCCCCACTGCCCCCCCTTAAATTTCTATAATACATCTACAACTTTGACATAATTTTAAAGGTGCCCCAGAATTTTTTTTAGAAAAAATGTGAAAGAATGGGTCACAAAATTTATATCATTCACTTTTCTCCTCTAGTTCCCATTTTCCCACCGACAGGGCCCAAGTACCAATTATATCAGTCATGCCTTTTGGTCCCCACTTCCCAAGTTCCCTTTACTCCTGTGGTCTCCCATTTCCCTTCACAACCGGCTCCTCTTCTTCCACACCCAAGCCAACTACTTTTTCTTTTTATCATTTCATCCAATTATCATTTACTTCCTTTGTCCCCACTCCCCAATTTCCCTTTCCTCATCTCGCTCTCGGTTGTCCCCACTCCCCAACATACATACGAGAGCCATTTTTTTTTCCACAACCAAAGCTTGTTACTCTTTCTTTTGATCACTTCATCCTATTTAGAGATTGCACCAGAATCAATTGATCTTCTAGGACTTGGGTCCGCCACATTTTGCAGCTCTTTTCACCAACTTTAGGAGACCATCAAAATCAGGTTCTAAACAATTACTTATTATTATCATTATTATAAATTTGTTTGCAAATATATTTCTAGAGCATGAGACTATTACTGTTTTAAAGAAATTTGAAAATTGATTAGTTAATGTAATAACTAATAAATGGGTTATTTGATAAATATTTTAACTTGTGAAATGGTGATTTTATGCATGAGACTTTTTTTTTTTTGCTTAAAAAATTAGAAAAAGAGTAAATAAAAATTTTAGTATTATTTTTTGCTTTCCCCACTAAAAATTTTTTTTTGGCTTCCGTCCCTGTTGTTTGAGAACGTTGTTATTGTAAAAATAGGCTAAATTCTATAATCGATACTTTTTTGGTGTATTAATGACTTGTACAAATTTGAAATGAAAAGTCTCTCAAAATAAACTTTCAATGGTCAAGAATATCCAAATATATCCAATATCCATTTGTTTGTATAAATTGTGATTTGGTGCTTGCATGTATTGTTTGGAACAATTATCACTCCAAATCCATCAAATAACTTGTGTAAGGTATGAATTTGAAATGAAATGGTTCGAATTTGAAATAAAAAATTAACTTCTCTCGAAAACAAACTTTCAATGCCCAAGAACATGCAAATATATAAAGCATAAAATTGGGATCAATTATATGTAAATGAAAATGCATACATTTCGTTCATTTTATTCGTATAATTTGTAATTTAGATTTTTACATGATTTGTTTTGGACTTGTCATTATCCCAAATTCATCAATGATTGGATTGTAGTTTTCTATCCAAACATTTTTACATTTTTCGTAAATATATTTTCTAACGACATTTTACGTCAGATAATATCAAACTGTCACACTATTTTTTTTACGTAAAATAAGAATCCAAACAAGCTTATTATTTTGTTTCAAACTCCGCTGTCGGCAGGGGAACACGAAAAAAAATCCCCAAAACTAACAAATTTTACTTGATTGCCATTACCCGCCTCATCAGCTTCAACTCTTTAACTCCATTCAACGACCACTATAAAATATCTCCAATAAAGTAGTCAAACTCTACACTGAAAATCAGTTCTCCACATCCCATCTAACATACAGAAAGTATCTCTCTCAACACTTATCTACAGAGCAGTAATGGAAGGCCTAGTTAAGGGACTGATCAATGCAGTTTTGGGTGGTGATGAAGATAACGCAGAAAGAAGAGAAGGTCAGGGGCACCACCCTCAATCTCAGTCTCATGATGTTGAACAGCAGTCGAGATCCTCCTGGGCTCAGGTTTGTTGAAAAAGAGATTCTTTCTATTTTGTTATTAATCCATCTGTGTTAAATTTAGGTTCTAAATGGAGCAGGTGGTCTCTGGGGATAATGATGATGAAGGGTATAGCAGGGATCATGGTAGAAATGAGTATAATAGACAGGTTAAAGACTTTGATCCTGTGAACCCTTTTTTTTCGGGTTTTAGCGGAACTATATATAAAAATCTGATTTTTACTTTTGGGTATTTTAATTTTGGATGGTAGGAAGGGAATTATGGAAGAAATGAGGCGTGGGAATCAAGTGGATCGCGGCCAGCCATGAGACCCCAGAAGGTTAATTGTTTAATTTTTTTTTGCTTAAGTTTTGCAGGCTTTGGTAGATGGTGATTTTCTGTGGGTTCTTGATTCTGCTTATATGGTTTAAGCTATTATTATCTATATAGTTGAATTTGGAGTATTTTCTTCGTGTGGTTAACGCATGTTTGGGAAAAACTTGATTTTGCTGGATTATTGATACATGAGCAAGATGATCTGCGCCTTGATTTATCTTATGTGGGGCTTAGGTGTTATTTACGTGAATATTCATATTTTTACTGGAATTTACAGAGGCATTGTTGATTTTTTTTTTTTTTTTGGATTTCTTTTTGAAGTTGGTTTTCTGAGAAATTGACTTCTAAAACTTCTACTGTTAGAAGTCGATTCTTCCATCTTCTTTATCCGTTTACATCTACTGTTATTTTTTTCTTCTTGCACTTCTCCCTGTCCTTCCCCTCCGTCTTTCTCCATTAATTCTATACGCATACGAGAAGAGAACAATAATGTAGAAGAGCAACCATAAAAGCGCATCATGTGAGCTGCACCTCCTGCAGCACCTTTCCATCCCAATTATTCCCTGCTCACAACCACCACCACAAATCAATGTCAAACTAGCACCGTTGAGGTGCCTTAGTTCATTTTCTTTGTCAGCCAAATCCCCGGAGCTCAGAATTGTAATGATAAAGATATTAAAGTGGAGTGCTGGGAAAATTATTGTTGGTGTTGTGGGTTAGTCTGTCCTTACTGGGATCCAAAGCGCAGCAGCAGCAGAAGCAGCAGCCATTCACGTCCTCATCATTGTGATCAGAAGTAAGATAAAGCCAAGAAACACCAGCAGTAGCAGAAGAAGAGGAGGGACAATTCAAAATGACAAGAACAGATGAGTGCTGTGCAAGTGGGAGACCACAATACTAGAACTAGTTATAATAGCTTTGGCCTTGGTGGTTTTGCATCAAATTTGGATGTGGTGTTTTGTTGGAAGAGCTGGAGAATAGAATTGAGGAGGAGAGGGAGGAGTAGAGGGAGTTTGAGAAGAAAAGGAACAACAGTTGCACTTGAAGGAGAAAGAAACGCAGTTAGTAGACGCCAAAATGAATATTATAAGATGAATTAAAGTCCATTTTTTTGGAAAGACGACAGTAAAATCCACAATATTTCTTTGATTTCCCATAAAAATATCAGTATTCTGTAAAATGGCCCTGAGGTTTAGAGACCGAAAATAGTTTGATCCTTTTGTATACAATTTCTTGATTTATAGGCCAGCGAAATTGGACTCTATCTCAGTATTTCCGCATACAGTTTAATCGGCTGATTTCTTACAGCAAAGACTGATGAACTGTGGTGAATAAATCTCTTTTGTTTTGGTGAGGGCTTGAATTTTGAAATCCTTCTGTTGACAACTTCTTAATCTTTATGGTGGCATAAGATTCATGTATTAATTTTTTCACTTAGTAAAAGGCCTAGTTGGGCCTTGCAGGAAGTATCAAACGCATTGAATTTATGTCATTTTAACAAGAAAGAGAAGAGCATAAACTTTTCGATGCACAGACAAATGATAACTGCTTGTGCTGTTTTTCATATTACTTTGCAAAAACTGTCAATTTAGTCTGTCTTTTTTTTGGTAATTACTAATCTTAAATGTTATAATTGTAGGCCACTTGGCAGGATAATGAGAGAAATGATGAGCGTAGACAAGATAATTACGACCAGAGCCAGTGGGATCAACAGGTTCAGTTTGCATGTGTAATTTTCCTTTTTTGTTTTTCTGATTAAGAAAAGCTTGGTGCTGAAGGGAACTGGTTTCATGGAACTTGTACAGCAGGGAGGAGAAAGCAAAGATGGTTGGGAAACTGTCCATAAAAAGCCTTCAAAAAGACACCAAAAGGTATTATCTTTTTGCCTGGTGTGCTTTACATGACATGTATCATTCATGCTTTTCCCTTCTGCCCTGTTGAAGGATTTTTATTTATAGTTGAACTGCAATACTCAACAACTAGAGTTCCATCATAATCTTTTTGAACACAAACCTAGGCTTTTTTTTCTTTTAAGTTGACGAACACAAGCATGTTAAGATAAGAGGGGCAGGAATTTGTACTTAAAATTGTTGAGAATAAATAATTTATTTCCAATGTGATACATTGAAAACAGAAGATAGATTGCATTTACTTGCTTGAGTTGTGATGTCAGGGCAGCAGCAGCATTTTCCTTTTACACTTAGTAGGTGAATTTTAGTTTTACTCCCGCTCCTGCCACACCATCCTCCTTTTTTGGCGGTAGTCCAAGTGTACACCCTGTTTCATCTTTGACAATTTTGATCCTCAATGGTCGGGACAAAATTTGCATTATATCCTGTATAGTTCAATGTCGACATGTTCATTCACTCATGATATTGACATCATATTATCTGGTTGACTTCATAAAACTTCGTACATTGGGAGATCAAAAGCTGTTGTTGCTTGAAAAGG